TTCTAATATAAGTAAAGTCCGAAAAACAGCAATAAACACAATGTATTTTTTTTATCTCGAAAACTAAGCGAGTTAGTGAAAAAAGGTAGATAATCAATCATATTGCAAATTTTATAAGCTTTAATTTTGCATAAAACGTCTGTCGCTGGAATAGATAGTTTTTCTGATATAAGTTAAGTCCGAAAAACAGCAATAAACACGATGCATTTTTTTTATCTCGAAAACTAAGCGAGTTAGTGAAAAAAGGTACATAATCAATCATATTGCAAATTTTATTAGCTTTAGTTTTATATGAAATGTATTTGTAGATGCGATGGATAGTTTTCGTGATATAACTGAAAGCCCGAAAAACAACAATGAACACGAGGATTTTTTTCAACACTAGCCATGGATGGAAACGGATATCTCGAAAATTAAGCGAGGTAGTGAAAAAAGATATATCGATAATCATATTGCAAATTTCATAAGCTTTAATTTTGCATAAAATGTCTGTCGCTGGAATAGATAGTTTTTCTGATATAAGCGAATGTCCGAAAACAGCAATATACACAATGAAAAAGTTTTTTTTCAACATTAGCCATAATTGGTGACGGATATCTGGAAAACTAAGCGAGGTAGCGAAAAAAGGTATATCTTCAATCATATTGAAAATTGAAAAAAAAAGAGAGATGAAAAATTAAAACTCGGTGAAATTTTTTTTTTTTTTTCAACATTAGCCATAGTTTAGGACGGATATCTCGGAAACTAACCTAGGTAGTGAAAAAACGTAAATAATCAATAATATTACAAATTTTATCAGCTTTAGGATTGTATGAAATGTATTTGTTTCATTCATAAAAAGCGCCTCCCAAAATATAAGAGTTGACCCTGATATCGATTTAATCCAAAAAGATTAAAAAATGCCGACGCCCGGTGGGCCCAATCTCAAATTCGATATCATTTTCATAAAAAGCGCCCCCCAAATACTAATAGTCGACCCTGGTATCGATTTAATCGGAAAAGTTATGAAAATTCGATGCCAGGGGGTCACTATCTCAAATCCGACAGTATATTTTTATAAAAAGGGCTCCCAAAACATGATGGTTAATTTAATATTGATTAATGGGGGATTAGGGTTGGTCATGTCGAATATGGCCGCTATTAGAAATAGAAATAGAAAAATCATCTTTATTCTGGGACTAGGTTCCTTTAGAATAACAGTATTGTTCATATATATTAACCATAAATCTGACCAAAAGACTTATTACAATGAATAATAACAAAATACTCGTAATAACTTAAGTATTAATTAAGCTCTTAGGATAAATTAACGAAGACAGTTGGGTAATAAGAGTTCAGTACTACAATATTGGAGCTAAAACAATAGCATAATAATCACTGAATGAAATTAGAAAGGAAAGCAAAATCTATTTTATAGGTAAAGCATTGTAGTGATGGAATATAAAAATTAAAAAAAATAATAATAACTGTTAATATGTAAGGAAAGAAATTGTAAAAACTAAAACAAAAAAAAAAAAATAATGATATACATATGTTCCCTAAGATATTTAAGTGATTATGCGTAAAGATTAGGAGAAGAAAAAATAAAATAAAGTATACATATATATACACATAGCGAGAAGTGTGTTGAAGATAATTAGAAAATAAAATACATTTCACTGAAATACATTTCATGAATAAAAAAATTAGAAATTAAAAAAACAAATTTTATCTACTCACAATGCTTAGTGAGTGGTGATGAAAATTCACGTTCAACACAGAATAAAACAATAAAAAATAAGAGAAAAAAATAATGTCTAAAGAAAATTAAAGCCTTATAACATAGTATGTATTTAACCAGCGTCTGATTGGATTGTGAGGAGGAATTGGAATAAGAGGGTTTTAAAGGTGGATAAGGATGATGCATGGCGGATTTTTAGTGGAATGGAATTCCAGAATGCAGTGGAACGGACAACGAAGGAATGTTTAAATGATGCAGATCTGTGGAAAGGAGTGTAAAGGTCAGAAGGACGAGATCTTGTGGAGAGGGTGTGGATAGATGATTTGAATTGTAGGAGATTGTATGCGTAGGACGAACGATGACTATTGATTATTTGGTAAAGGAATGTGCCTAGGAAATATTGTCTTCGGAAGGAAGGGAAGAGCCATCCTAATTCAGCATAATGGTGCGAAACACGGGAATACCTCAGGGTCCCTGTGACAAATCTTACGAAGGCATTCATAATTCTTTTCAGTCTCTCCCCGAGTTCTGCCGAGAGGCCACCGTACACCACGCAGCCGTAATCAAGGTGGGGGACTATTATTGAAGGAAATAAAAGAAAACATTTATACTCTTTATAATAATGACGGAGTACTTGAAAAATAAAAAGTACTCATGGTAGGAATTAGGCTGAGTACTTTCTGTAATTCGATATAACACCGCGAGTACTTTCTGCACTTAACTAAATCATGATTAACGCTGCGAGAGTACTCTCAGTACTCGCCACGGACGGATCTACGGGGGGAGGGCTTTTGTGCTGAAGCCCCCTCCCAAAATGGAAAAATATAACCATGTTTTATGGGAAATAAAATTTAAAAAATACCTCTTAAAGTATTATTGTTGGTGTAATTACATTTAAAAGTACTTAAGGAATAACTTAAACACCATTTCATATAGGTAGTTAGTTTCTTTCTGTTTTTCCAAAGTAATTATCGTTATTTTTATGAAAAAAATAGTTTTGGGCTGAAGCCCCTCCCAAAATTAAATCCTGGACCCGCTAGTGGTACTCGCCGATGTCAGGCCGAGTACAGAAACTACTCGATACTTTTTCCTAATATAATTACTCAAATCATGAAAGTAATCGAGTACTGCCCATCTTAGACATACTTGGAGACGGATATCTCAAAAACTAAGCGAGGTAGCGAAAAAAGGTATATCGTCAATCATATTGCAAATTTTATCATCTTTAATCTTGTATAAAATGTATTTGTCGATGGGATGGATAGTTTTCGTGATATAACTGAATGTCCAAAAAACAGCAATGAACACGAGGATTTTTTTCAACATTAGCCATGGATGGAGACGGATATCTCGAAAACTAAGCGAGGTAGTGAAAAAAGATATATCGTTATTCATATTGCAAATTTTATATAAAACGTCTTTGTCGATGCAATAGATAGTTTTTCTGATATAAGTGAAAGTGTGAAAAACAGCAATAAACATGATGACATTTTTTTTTCAATATTAGCTATGCTTGAGGACGGATATCTCGGAAACTAAGCGACGTAGCGAAAAAAAAGCTTTTCGTCAATCATATTGCAAATTGAAAAAAAAGAGAGGTGAAAAAATTAATCAGCTTTAGGATTGTATGAAATGTATTTGTTGCTGGAATAGATAGTTTCTCTGATATAAGTGAAAGTGCGAAAAACAGCAATAAACAAGATGTATTTTTTTTATCTCAGAAACTAAGCGAGTTAGTGAAAAAAGGTAGAAAATCAATCATACTACAAATTTTATTAGCTTTAGTTTTGTGAGAAATGTATTTGTCGCTGGTATGAATAGTTTTTCTGATATAAGCGAAAGTGCGAAAAACAGCAATAAACATGACGAAAAGGTTTTTTTTAACATTAGCCATAGTTGGAGACGGATATCTCGCAAACTAAGCAAGGTAGCGAAAAAAGGTATATCGTCAATCATATTGCAAATTGAAAAAAAGGAGAGAAGAAAAAAATAAAAACTCGATGAAAAATTTGTTTTTCAACATTAGTCATAGTTGGAGACGGATATCTCCGAAACTGAGCGAGGTAGTGAAAAAAGGTAGATAATCAATCATAAGGTAGATAGTCGTCTAGTCTTATTAATATTAATCAAATAAAAAGATAATACATATTTATTATTTTAAAAATGTATTTATTTATCTTTAAAAAACAGCTATTAGGTCTTCACAGGTTGAAAATCGAACAACCGAATAATAAATGATTCATCATAAGCTATCAAACGACACTTCAAGTTCACTCTGCCTACAGAAATCAATCGTCTTTGGATGACAGACTTAATTTTTAATGAACTATTGGTACGAAGGGATTATGTAGTGAAAATTCTAGCCTTCTAACTTCGGTTAATTTTTGCACCTAAAATTACAATTTTTTAATTTGAGTCTGCCAGTAGATAGCCACGGCCTAAAATAGGCAGACTAAATTTTTATTTAACTGCTAATATATAAGTATCATACAGCGAAGTTTCAAATTTCCTAACTACAGTCACTTTTTACATCTAAAATTGTAATTTTTGAATTTGGGTCTACCAATAGGTTGCCGCAGCCTAACATAGGCAGACTACCTTTTTATCAAACTGCTAATATATAAGTATCATATAGCGAAGTTTCAAACCTCCTCACTTTAATAAATATGTAGACCTAAAATTGCAACTTTTAATTAGAGTCTGCCAGTAGATTGCTGCGGCCTAAAGAAGGCAGACATAGTTCTTTCTTCCTTTTATCACACACATTCATTGCAGTTATAATTTCAAGGCTCCTAAGATTGGTAAATTTATTAACTTAAAGTTGCAATTTTTTAAATTAAGTCTGCCAGTGGAAAGCAGCTGCACAGAAATGGCAGACTGCTCAAAAATGGCGCTTCATTGTAGAAAGATTCATCTATTCAAAGTTTCATCTTCTCTGTGATGAGGTCCATTTTCGGCAAATATGGACCTATTTTTGAAAGTAGCGGCTTTGGAATGGCAGAGAAAGCTCATTTTAATTAAAATGTTATACCCTTTCATGATTTACATTCAAACCTTCGCCTGCGATGAGGTCCGTTTTTTTGGTCCGATATTCCGCCATAAGGAATATCTAAAGAATAAGTAGGGATGTAAACAAAGTTCAATTTTTTAACAGTATTTATGGCAGAACTAGGTAGTATGTTTTCTTTACTTTTTTCTCTTTCTTTTTATTTAGGCCAGATTTAATACTTTAATTTTGTACTATTCTGTTATTCTAAAGGGACTTTGCCCCAGAGTAAAATTACTTTTCTATTCTATTCTAATGCGGCTGAGTGAGAGGCGCTGGATTCTCCCAGAGTCCTGCCTTTCCTTCCACGAGTGGGAGAAAGGCTTAGTTTGGAGTTCTGAGTGGATTAATTTTACATATATTGTATAAAGTTATGTATTCATTTAAGTTGTTATCTTGATTAATTTAGTTTCTTTTGTTTATAAACATTTACTTTTATTATGATTTTTGCTGTTTAATCTACTTTTATCTATTGTACATAGAAAGTGAATGAGCTCTATCACTATTATTGATGTCCTTGAATGTGACAGAATATAATATTATTTAATAAAGGAATCTATATTATGAACTGTAACTACATAATCAATAATTACTACTTGTTAATAATCTATTTGGCTTCTTTTTTTTTTAAATAGATATCTTGATAATAAGTTAATGCCTCTCGACAAGTTGTTACAGGGGTGCCCATCACCCCCAAGGTCCATGGCGCATGATCCTCCAACCCTTCCTCCTGAGATATTTTAGTTCAATTCTCTTCTTAAAAACAGTGCAAGCTAAGATCAAATTTTAAAAATCATAGTTCTTATACAATTACACTTTCAGTGGTCTGTACTATACTTTTCTCTTGTCCACTGATTTGAAGCTTTTCAATCCGAAAATTTATAAACCCCTTGAAATGTTCTCCTCTCAAATATTCAAAACCACATCAAAATGTACCCCCTCAAAAATTTTGTTGGTGCAACTTGCACACATGAAACCCCCTTGTGGGCACTCCTAGGTTGGTAGATCAAAGGATAATTAATCAGATAATAAATATATTTTTTTGGGGAACCTCTAAAATACCACATCTCAACAATGGTTTGATAACTGCATGTGCGGTAGCCAGTGTTAAAATACATTTTTGTTAAATATTCCAGCCATAATAATTTCGATCTGAGACAACCTTTAAGTTGGTTTATAACAATTTATATAAAATACAGATTTTTGTTGAACTTGCACCTTATTTTTATTAAGTGCCTTACTTATATGAGTACTTCATAATTTTAACCATAACAATAAAACTTTGTATTTCTTATTTTGTATACTTACTATTAACCTAATCATTAGCTCACCTAACAAACTTTTTTTACGATGAAGAAGAGGGCAAGAGATTGAAAATAACTTCTAATGAAATGTTACATCTAAATTATAGATTTAGAGGAATGTAGGAACAATTGCTATCAAACATCTTTCACAGATTTAATGTAAGTTAGAAAAATTACTTCATATTTGAAATGATGTATTGTATTTATTATTGGATATGTAAAAACGTTAAAAAGATGAAAGATACAGAGAATTTTATCATCTTGAAGAATGTAATGAACAAGCATTTTTCTAGGAACAATAGTTACCGGGATAAGCCAAAGAAAATTCCCCTGAACCAAATTTGGACTGGAAAAACAGTTTTCATATGTTAGTCTCAATATATACAAGTTAAAAAAAAAACCTAAAACCTGAATTTTTCACAAGGTAACATTTACATTTATCAAAAATAATAATTTTAAATATTCTATACAATGATTTCCTCTCAACATAAGAGCTTTTCTCAATAAAAATATTAACATTGACAAATGTCTTATTCACTTGTTTTGATAACAGTATTTACAACAGGGTGATAATACTATTTCTTTGGTACAAAGGAGTTCAAAGTTTTAAAATAACTAGGGAAGGTTTTAGAAATGTCTATATTCACTTCACTTTTTTATCTCTTAAAAATGTTTAATTTAAAAGTTATTAAAAATAGTTTTGCAGGCTTCATTTGCTGACATTTTTTTAAAATAAAAATATTTTTACGTACAGTAGATCACATTTTTAAAACATTTACAACTAAAGAAAAGTAATATATATTATTCTAAACTAGAACTTAAAATAAACCAACTCTTTCATTTCTCAATATAGTTTTACAATGTTGTTTTTATTTTAAATTTACAAATGTTTGTATGAGATTGTTGTTTTTTGCTTTGTTAGCGTTTGTGTGTGTGTGTATAAAATATTACAAAAACGCCTTTATAATAATCAATATAAATAAAAAAAAATACATTTTTAAAAATGTCAAGAACTAAAAGCAAGTAAATGGTGATCAGAAAAGAAAAAGCACAAGGTAAAATAATTTGGTTAATCATATGATCAAACAGTAACAGCAAATAAAAAAAAAATCAGATAAATCAAGATATACACAAGATATGTATGACTATATACTTTGTAAATAGAATTGCACTTAGCAGTATATACAATTTAAATACAAAAATATGGGATTACTAAAAATTAAACTAACATTAATATTTAACCCATGATTTCTGGAGAAAAAACATTAGTAATTTCACTATATGAAGACATTTTAAAATATCTGTCAGAAGTCAACTATAGTGAGGTCATGATTACAGGAAAAAAACTTCTAACATGTGACTTCTTTGAATGTATTTACTTAAATAACAAAATCAAATTAAACTTGTTTTGCTCTACTGATATTTATTTATCAATTGTAACATCATGGACATTGAATTTGGAGCTGTTTAATTTAGGGTTAATTATTAATATAAAAAATGGTAAAATTTAGGATCTAATTTAAAATATTTATCTTGAATAATCCACTTGTCCACACTCAACAACAAGTATAATCAATAATCTAAATTATATGTGATGAAATTTAAAATAATTCTTCAGTCAAAGAAAATCAATTTGTTTATAATATATTATGAAATGTCAAAATAGACAACACAATAACCATTAACCCTCTCAGGACTAATATGTAATGTAATCTTCATTTTAAATTATGACAGCTTCCACTTACAGAGCATTTCAAGTACTTTTGTGCCTTCCAACTTACAGGCAATAACCAGAAACAGCGACTGTTAATTCATTAGTTACTTCACCTGGGTATTATATTGTTTATAGTGTGTTTACTAGAATGTTGTAGTACTAATCCCATGGATCATGAATTATAGAAAGTAAATTAACTCCTATGATAATTATAATGGTTCAGTTTCGTTTTTTTGTTTTTCAGATTATCCACAAATTTAAATAATTTCTATAAATGTATAAAAAATTTTAAATGAAATCAAAAGATTTGTCAATGATCTAATTCAACCATATTTCAAGCGTAACCATTATCTCATACTCATCTCACATAGGCCATTAGGGTTGATTGCTATCGCAATTCATAATGCATGGCTAGTGCACAAAATATCTGGCCAAAAAGCAATAAAGCAATAAGTGAAATAATCATAACATATTTGAAAATGTTAGGGTTATTTCACTATATGGCATTATCTACAGAGTACTACTAAAATTGACAAAAGGGCACAGACTATCAAAAGATCTCAGGAGTTATATAGCATTAGATACAATCAAATTGAACTCTATTGTGTGAAGTTAAATATAAAAGATATGAGATTATAAGGTGTTTCAGTGTGGTGGGAGCAAAGTGAAAGAAATATGACATTGGTCACTATATCTAAAATACCACAAACTTTATCAGATTTGCTTTTCACAATTTATATCATTATCACTGACTCTTATTAATATTTTATGGTCCATCAAAAAGTTTTGGATGTTTCTGATGTTAAAAAAACATTAAATCATATTTAAAATAGTTTGAAATATTTTTTCCTAATTTCCTACTTAGCCCTATCTAGAGATGAACATGGTGACATCTAAATCACACCCTGTTTCTTCCATCCTCCCCCCTCCACCCAAACAAGTGGGAAACTTCTTCATTATTTTTTTTAGTTCATTCTGGAAATAAGTAAAAGCTTATCTAAAGTATCTGTTTTCATATTAAAAAAAAACTGTCCTTGGAGGGTTAATATTGTAAAATTATAATAAAAATCTAAAAATAAACATAAATTTTAACAAACGAAACACAAAACAGGCATATACAAATACTAAAAATGGTGAGGGGAGGGATAAATAAAATTTTAAACAATTTTGAAAATGACAAACCTTTTTTTTCCAGAAAGAAGGATGTTTTCAAACTTTAAAATAAATAAAATATAAAAGAACACAAAATATTAACAAAATGCATAAACTCGCAAACTTTAGATTGATAATAAAAATAATCAATTCATATACAAGAATACTTGCTTAAACGATTGTATAAATAGATAGCTATTCTAAAACAATCTAACTGTGTTCAATTTTAATCTTCAGATATAAATTTGTACATAGGTACAAAATTTGTCCTTCACAGTACATAATTTAATATTTTATACATAATTTCAGCAAAAATTATTCTATAAGTCACTCTCAAGTTTTAATCTCTTGGCTGGAGAAGGAGGATTTGACAGCATTGAAGAACTGTTCTTTCCTAGTCCTCTTGGTGTGTAATCTATTGAAAAAAAAATACATAAAAAATTGGCAAAAAATATATAAATATGTATATACATATAAAACTAATAGACACTTTGATTATAAGAGAAAAAAACATTAATTAATAGTTTCAGGGTATCCATAGTTTCTCTTTAACAAAATTATTATACATTGCCAGGTTTCCACTTAATTTATTTGTTTTCCCAAACATTACCGCATCCAGTAGAAAATTTTTTTCTACATTTATTTAGAAAAGAGATGAAAAGTGATTTTATAGTTTCATCAATTTTATGTACTCAAGATAATTTAAAAGAGTTTTTAAGTTAATTGAACTGCTAAAGAATTTCTCCCATGTTTGTTTTTAACATTTTATAACAGACCTAATAATTTAATGATTAATGAATTCCTACATTAACAAAGCAATTTGCATTCAAATTTTATCCTCTAATTCGATAAATATAGGCCTGCAGAGGTGCACCAGTCCTTAAAAAAAAATGGAAAGTCCATGATACAAAAACGAGGTGGGGGAAACAGGTGAAAATTCCTAACCTGATCCCAACCCTCTAACTTGATATGGAGACACTGCATAAAACCTCAGCAAAACACACACAAAATGGTGAGAATGGAGAAATCTCTCACTTTGAAACTGGAATACCTCATGGTTAGTTAAACTTTCCTTAGTGCCAGGTCTAAGACACTAATACAAAGAGTACCGTACTGGTGGGAGAAACCAGTCAGAACTTGCCAACCCCTGACAGCTATCCTGAGGTTGCCCCCATGTACTAACCATAGTCGGAATATCAACATTCATTAACCGACCCAGGTGTGAATTAAACCCACAAAATTCAGAACTGGGCACTCAGAGACTCACGCTCCAACGTGTTCGGTCATCCTGTTCTCTAATATGAATAGTAACAGACTTACATAACCTTAGCGAATACCCAAATTATTTTAAGTGGTTCATGGTATTAACCACATTTCTGGTCTTGTTATAGAAACTCACCACAGCCAGTCATCCTTCTCAGACAGTGCACATTCTATATCTTCCTTCCTCATCTTATAGAAAGCCTTTTGTAAGTCCACAAAGCTCAAAGAAAGCTCCTTATTTTTCTCATCAATCTTTTCTATTAATTGAGGCATGGTGAAGATGAGGTCTAGCATACTGCAATGCCCTCTGAAACCATACTGTTCTTTTCTGAGCTAACTATTAACTTCTCTTCTCACTCTTGCCTTAATTATTCTGGAATAAATCTTGCTAAGCACACTGAGCAGTGATATTCCACAATAATTGCTACACTCTTGATTGTCTCCCTTCTAATCAACGGGCACTATCACTGCAACTTCTCAGATGGAGGAACATCTCTTAGCTTTTAATACCTATGTCCTTGATCATGTTAGGAGTGATTTCGCCAAGTCCTACTACCTTTATACTTTTCCTTATTTGATTATTTAGAACCATGAGCTCTTTCCTTTTGCTTTCAAAAGTTACTTCTCTTTCTTTTATCATTCTATGAATTTTAAAGAGTTCTTTAGTACCTAATAATTCTTCTTTAGTATTTAATAATTTACTTATTTAATTTTTAATGAAGCTGTGACAGTGCAGTTGTGTCATCAATAGCTTTGGAGACTATGTTATATTTTTCCTGGGCGGTAAAGGGAGCCTTTTCTTCTCTGCATTCAGAACTATGTTGATTATGTGTTATAGCGCAGTAACCTTGTACATCATAAGTTGCATTGAATGGGGGTATAAGGTTTCTTTTCATTTTCTTGTATGGGATATGACTGAGATGCAAAATCCAAGTTTTTGCTGCCCACTGGCTTACTAGGAAGAAGATCGAACGGAATAAATGACTCAGGTATTTATAGCTCACTTATCATAAGCTCCTTCAAAATAATGAATTAACTAATGATTATGATCCTGAAAATATTCCAGTAAAATTAATAAAATCTGGCCTTCCTGTCCTTATTCCCCTGCTTTACCTATTTCTCTACTTTACCTTCCAAAACCATTGGAATGCCTTGTCAAAAATTAACTTTCCAACTTTCTAGAGGAACGTTCCCTCATCAACCTATTTCAATCTGGCTTTTAACCTTGCTACTCAATGCAATCTGCCCTCCTTAAACTAAACCATGATCTCTAAAGTTCCATTGAACACCAAAACCTTAACTATCCTTATCCTTCTAGATTTTTTCAAATCGTTTGACACAGTCAAACATAACATCCTCCTTACTAAATTGTAAAATTTTCCTCTATCCAATAGTGCCCTGCGTTTGTTCAAATTCTTTCTTTCAGACCGATCCCAGGATGCAGTTGTCCCAGGTGAACCTCTTTTTAAGACACTTCCTCTCTCCTGTGGTGTCCTTTAAGGTTCCTCTCTATCCCCTACTCTGTTAGCTATTTACATTAACCTTCCTCTCCTGATCCATCAATCCCAATACCACATATATGCAGACAATTTCCAAATATACCTGTCCTTCCCACCTTCTGACCTATTACCAGCTACAAAAAAACCTCAAGAAGATTTAAATAGAATTTGTGACTGGGCAGGAGCTAACAAGTTGAAGTTGAATGTGGAGAAACGAAGGTAATCCTAGTAGATCCTAGTACCTCTGATTTGCGCTTGGACGCTGATGAGCCTCCCGCGCAAATAAGAGTGCCGCAACGCCGAAGAAATGAACAAAAGTGGATGAAATGGACTCGCAAGTTGAATGCGTCAGCAATCCAAGCTTATTTCTTGGCAACAAATTCGGAAAATGATAAAACTGGATATAGATCTCGAATCATTAACTACTGGAATGAAGAAATCCCACATATTCAAGTCTCTTCTCAACGTATCACTGATCAGGTGAAACAGATATTCAGCAGGAAGTTTCTTTCAATGGCTGAGATACACGATATAAAATAAGAGGTAGCACGTAGGCTAAACCTGAACCATGCTCAGGATTTACTGCCATTACAACCACAAATCATTGAGGCTGTCACTCACGTGAATCAGGAAAAACAGGCCCATGGAGGAACCATTGAACACAAATAATATGGAAGAAGCAAGCATTCGTACCAGTTTTATTAGGGAACATTTAAAATTCCAGGGAATTCCTCTCGAATATCGTCCTGTCATCCCTAAAGTAACATATTCTAAATCAACACTTCAAACTGTTTTAGCAGTAGATATTCTGTTGCAAGAATATATAACAACCGACAGTGACATCGATGAAATCCGACACTGGATATATATAGCAGCAAGGACGGTTGTGAAACAATTGGGACTAATAAGAGAAGTAGATCCGCCAAAAGGGAAGAATATTTCTGATGTTAAAAGAATCTTGGTCCACCTTGGAGGAGAAGGCTGAAGAATAAAATTGATGTATTGAGCAAAAAAATTGGAGTTCTCACCAACTATCTCAATAATCCTGACATAGCATCAGTGAAGTTGAAGACTGTTATTGATGAACTCATTGCGAAACACATAGGTACCGTCAATAGATCTGAACTTAATTCAAAGCTGTCAGCACTCTCAGAATTCTTTAAACAAAAACTTGCAGTTTATGCTAACAGGGTCAGAAGATATACACAAGCTGAATCCCGAAGAAAGCAAAACTACTGGTTTCAAACAGCAGAGAGAAAATTGTATGATAGGCTGAAACCAAAAACAAAGGAAGACTCTTTCTTTTTCTTTGTCACATCCCGATGATTCTGAATTCTCTAGCTATTGGAAAAACATTTGGGGCAGTCCAAGGAACTACAATAAGAATGCTTTCTGGCTTAGGAATTTGCAAGATGAAACACAGAATGTTTCAACCTAGGATGCAATGCAAATTAATATCGATGATGTACAGGAATCCATCAAGTACGCACATAACTGGAAAGCATCAGGGTCAGATAAAATTCAAAACTATTGGCTCAAACACTTTAAAAGTGTCCATGGACCATTAGCCTCTTACTATCAGAAACTGATGTGATATTTAGTCACACCTCCAAAGGACTTCTGCTTAGGGAAGACACACTTGATCCCGAAACAAAGAAAAGAATCCCCAGAGCCGAAAGACTATCGACCAATAACATGCCTTAATGGAGTTTACAAGCTTTTGACATCCATAATCAGTAATAAACTAATGGGACATATACAAAAGAACAACCTTATGGCACAAGAGCAGATTGGATGTAAGGGATGTAAAGAGCTCCTTGTAGTCGAATCATTCATAGCTTATCAAGTATCAAAAAAGTCACGAAATATATCTCTTTCGTGGATTGACTATCAGAAAGCATTCGACTCAGTCCCTCATGACTGGTTGATTGAAGTTCTCAGGATTTATAAAGTCGATCAAAAGGTAATAGAACTATTGCAACGACTTATGAAGCTATGGGAAGTATCATTGGTGCATCCAACTAAAAAAAGCCCATCGTCTCAGAGAACATTCCCATAAAAAGAGGAATATTTCAACAGGATTCGTTAAGCCCTTTATGGTTTTGCCTCACAATTAATCCTCTAAACTCTATTTTAAATAAAACTGGAAAAGGCTATTCCCTGAATCAGGAAACAATAATTTCTCACTCTTTTTATATGGATGACTTAAAACTCTATGCAAAGAACGGGAGAGATCTGAGAACTCTTCTTGACTTGGTAAGTTCATTCACTGAAGATATTGGGATGAAGTTAGGAACAGACAAATGTGCAACCCTTAATGTCCACAGAGGAAGATATAAGGATTCAGCTAATATTGAACTTAATAATAGTGATGTCATCAAGCAACTTCAGTTAACCGACTCCTACAAGTATCTTGGCATCTCACAGCTGCTTAAATTCAGAGAAAAGGTCAAAGAAACTTTTGAAGAAAAATTTAAAAAACGGGCCAGGATACTCCTAAGAACTAATTTCTCGGCAGGAAATTTAATAAAAGCCTTGAATACCTGGGTGATTCCTGCTGTTACATATTCCTTTGGAATAATAAAATGGTGCAACACGGATTTGGAAAAGATGGACCACTTATTAAGGACAGAAATGATAAAATCACGGCAACGTCACCCAAATTCTTCAGTTCCAAGACTATATTTGCCTAGAAAACATGGAGGTAGAGGACTTATTAGTTTAATGAAGGCCTACCGTGAACAAGAAGCCAGGCTTAGAAACTACTTCATGAATAGTACTTCGACAGAGCTGTCGACCGTTGCTGCCCTTGACTGCAACTATACAGCACTTAATATGCTTCGGCAAGGACCAATGACAATGCCCACTGAGGAGAACCTCACAGAATCATGGAAGTGTAAATCACTTGATTCTACAATTCCCTGAAAACACCTGGCATAAATTTAGAAGCCTCAGTCCATTGGTTGACTACAGGAAAAATGTTCCCAGAGACAGAGGGATTCCTTCTGGCAATACAAGAACAGGTAATGGCGACATCCTCCTACAGGAAGTATATTCTATATGGAGCAGTTGATGACAGATGCCGTCTATGTAACACCACAAATGAATCCATTCAGCATGTTACCTCTGGCTGCCAGGCATTAGCTGGTAAAGAATACCTAGCGAGACATAATAATGCGGCAAAAATCGTGCATTAGGCTCTGGCACAAAAATATAAATTAATAACAGGCCATCAGCCTTTCTATAGATATCAACCGCAGGCTATATTGAAAAAAGGGAATGTCAAGCTATACTGGGATCAAACTATGATAACTGACCATAGTATTCCTCACAATAGACCAGATATACTGCTCGTTAACAAAGATACAAAAAAAGCCATCATTATCGAAGTTGGAGTTCCTGCTGATGATAATGTAGCTAAAACATTAAGTGAAAAAATTTGGAAGTATCAAGAGCTTTGCGAGGAATTAAGGCAGTTATACCGGCTGCTGGAAGTAAAAGTACTACCCATTATCATATCCAGCAATGGCATGATTCCTGAAGATACTCAATTAAGCTAGGAATGAAATGAAAATCCAGAAAGCGGTAATGCTGGGAACCGCCAGCATTGTCCGAAAAATTTTTAATATTTCAAATTAAATAGGTAATAAACTGTACCCTTGACCTAGGTCCGGGCCAGTGGATTTATCCGGCATAAAGCCGAGAATTGAAAAAATAAACATAATAATAATTTTTAAATGTCTAAAAATAATAGATATTAATATGAAGGTGGCTGGAAACTTACACCGCAAAGCGATAATAAAGAATGGAAATAATAATTAACGTGAAGTGGTTGAAGTTAATTCTTCTCCACTCCAGGAAAATACCTTTTTTTAAAGTGATACAAAATAAATAATAATAATAACTTATCCAGAAGGAAGGAATGAAATTGTATTGGAATCAATCTTTTATAACAGACTATACTGTGCTCCATAACAGACCTGATATCGTGTTGATCGACAGAACTAAGAAGACAGCTGAGATAATAGATATCGCTGTACCAAATGATGGGAACACCAACTTAGCCTGAAAAAAATCGAAAATATCAAACTCTTGCAGCCGAGTTAAAAGACCTCTACAGACTGAACAAAGTGACAGTAAGGGCTTTAGTGATCTCTAACAATGGACTGATTCCAAAATCCACTGTAGAAGCTACAAAGAAGTTGGGCCTATCAAGAGCTACGATAAATGAAGCCCAGAGAGCTGTGCTGCTGAACACTGCAAGTAAGGAGCTTCCTTAATATCCAATAAAACTACAAAAATTAACGTGAAGTGGTTGAAGTTAATTCTTCCCCACTCCAGGAAAATGCCTTTTTTTAAAGTTATAAAAATAAATAACAATAATAATGTAGCAAAGTCATTTAAACAAATGAAAAACTGGAAAGCTTCTGGGTCAGACAAAATACAAAATTACTGGCTGAAGTATTTCAGCAGTATTCACAATCATCTGGCTTCATGGTATCAAAAACTAATATCTGAAGAGGTAGACCTTCCTGCAAATTTCTGCACAGGCATGACTTATTTAATAAGAAAATCAAATAAGTAAAAATTGGAGCCAAAGGATTTGAGACCTATAACGTGTTTAAATGGCGTGTACAAGCTATTAACATCTGTCATCAGAAACAAGTTGACTGACTACATTCAAGAAAACGCCATCCTGTCAGTGGAACAGCTAGGTAATAAACCAGGTTCAAGAGGATGGAAAGAACTTCTGTTGATAGATTTGTTTATTGCAGCTCAAGTTTCTAAAAGATCTCGCAATATTGCTTTATCTTGGGTTTATTACCGTAAAGCATTCGATTCAGTTCCACATGATTGGCTTTTAGAAGTTCTGAAGATCTATAAAGTGGATAAGACAATAATAGATTTGTTAAAATGTTTAATGCAAATTTGGAAGGTATCACTCAGCACACCAAATTGGAATGGATTAAGTACCAATGAATATATACCTATAAAAAGGAGTATTTTTCAAGGTGACTCCCTTAGTCCTCTTTGGTGCTCAATCCACTCAGTAAACTACTGAAGATACAGGAAGGAACAAGGGAAGGCGTGGTCTCATCAGCCTCTTGAAGCTATGCCGGGAAGAAGAAAATAACCTTAGGGTTTACATCAGACATCATACCTCTAGCATTCTCTCAACCATTGCATCACTAGATGCAAATTACACAGCTCTAAATCTCAATATTGAAGAAGGCTATGCTAGATAAATGGAAAGATAAACCACTCCATGGGCGATTTTATCATTCATTGATAAGGGATAGGAATAGACACTCAGGCATCATTAACATGGCTTAAAAGCGGCAATATTTTTCCAGAAACCGAAGGATTCCTACTGGCTATCCAAGAGCAGGTAATAGCCACAAGGGCGTATAGAAAGCATATTTGTGGAGAAAATATAAATGACTAATGCCGCCTTTGCGAAAAATCAGTGGAGTCGATCCAGCATATAACTTCGGGATGCACAATAATGGCGGGTAAAGAATATTTACTGAGGCATAACAATGCAGCTAAAGTAGTACATCAAGCCATGGCCCAGAAGCTGGAACTGAGGGATAACTATTGTCCGTATTACAAATATCAGCCTGAATCAATCATCTCCAATCATATGCCATAAGTCACCAAGAATGAAAAAATTAATGCTGCTTTGGCAAAATAAACCCCTGGGATTTACAAAATGTTATAACTACCTAGGAATTTCATTTTCAACATCGGCAAAATTTTCTAAGGATGCTAAACACTTTATTCAGACCTCAAATGTTACAGGAGCAAAAGTACGTGAGATTTTAATAAGAGAAAAGAGCGATGCATGGGAAACCAAAATGGCTCTCTTTGATTCAATAGTCTCCTCAACTATTCTTTATGCATCCGAAGTTAGGGGCTTAAGATATTTCGAATCAATCAAATTAGCCCAAGTGAAATTTCTTAAGCAATTATATTTTTGGCCCAGATTAACACCTAATTAAATAGTACAATTGGAAACCGGACGTTTTAATGGCAGTTTTGAAGAAAACTATAAATGTATGCATAAAAATATCTTCATTGCCAGACCTTCGACTTCCGCGAAAGTGTTTGCAAAAACTTGTGGCTATGGACACTAGGCAGCCTAATCTCGAATTCAACTGGATATCACAAGTTAAAAAGTTAGATTTCTTGGATCCACACATATTAATAAAGAACAAAAAAAAAAAATTATTGTGACAGTTGTATCTAATAACTTATGTTCTAAAGACATTGAACACATCTTTAATTTTAACTATAGTCACATCTATAGGCGAATCTGTTACTACAATTACCCAGAACCGCAAAACTACCTCAAATTTATTGTCCCTCTACGAAAGCTGCGAACAGTGGGTCGTCTGAGAGTTTCGAGTAATGACCGTCTGGTGCTCTGTCATGGGAATATCATTCATGTTTTAAGGGTTAATGAAGTTTGTAAGTGGTGCGGTCACCTTATCACTAATGGCATGAAGCATTTGATCCTTGAATGTTCGTTTGTTGAGATTCATAGAAAGAGATATCTCGATAAATATGAAACTGATCCGGACACAGATGACTTATCGTTGGAGAGATTTAGATTTTAAAAGTCTTGGACAATGTGTTCTACTTTATTGTTCATATTTTTGACTCCCATAGTTTGCGTTACTTTAAAACTAATAATTATTCGTGTGTTAGTATATCATATAAATATGGCGCATATTTTCTTACCCATTAAAATGGCAACAAATACATCGCATTATTGCGTCTTAAAGAAGTATATTCAAGTTTATGTATCACTATTTCTCATAAAATTTGTCATTTTTTTCCTGTTTTAATTGAGTTTATTTTGTTAGTGAATTTACAGTGAAACTTAGTTTATATTGATCTGAACAATTTGTTTTATATTAATGTATTTATCTTTTTTCCTCCTCATATTGTCCTCATGTATTATATCGTCTTTCATATTGTACTTGTTATTTACAAACTAACTACAACATTGATTGGGCCATACTTCATGGCTACGCTGTTTATAAGCCAATAAATAAATAAAAAAATATTATAACCTAGAAATCTATGTAGAGGCAGAAGAAAAAATTAATATAAAATAATGTTAAAATCGTACAAAGCAATTTATCAAACGTTTTAGTTTTGCTTTGAGATCCCCAGAGACGCCCCCATATACCGTACAGCAATAGTAAAAGTGGGGAGTACAGCTTTGTTTACAAAAGCGAGAGGAAATGCATTTGAAAGAGGTTTCACACTATACAGCTGTAGGAAGCTGGTGTTTGGCGCATGCATACTTCTTCTGTTCTACTATACAATAATGAGTCAATCTCCTTATTCTATAGCCACAACTCGAACATTACAGTTGAGAACTCATGATAATTTTTGCAAAGTTTACTTTATTGTAATTTTCTAATTCCCTTTTTTTCCTAACCAAAAAAATCCAAAAGTATTCCCACATTTCTCAGAACTAATCACAACACAAAGTATAATATATTAATGATTCAGTAAACCTGATTAATGTAAATACACTTATAATCAAATAGTACTACTATTTTAAAAATAAAATAGATTCATATATTCGTAGGCAAAATTAAAAGACAATTTTAACAGGAAATATATTACAAATCTGAAAATAAATGTTTGCATTTGATTTCATTAATAAAAACCTACTTAATTAAAGTACATTAATTTCTGAGTTTACAGACCATATACAATAAATAAAAAAATAAAATGTCTTCATATCTCACCTTGTAACCACCTCACTTGTGTGGCTGGTCCAAAACCAAGCTGGTTTCGAGCAGCTATTCTAAATATAATAGCAGGCTTGGTGGAGGTATCTATTCTTGCTTCTTCAAGTGCTGAATTTGGAATAATAGCTTGTGTCTTTGGTCCCAAATAGACACGGACAAAACCCAACTATGAACACATTTATAAGTTAATAATGTAGGTCTCAATAAAAAGTAGTAATGATATCTTACAAAAATTACTTACTGATGATGGAGCTGTGTTTCGGACTGCAAGACAAACGGAGTAGGCAGTGATAGCCCCACCTTCACTTAAAGGAGGTGCCCAACTAATATGAGCTCCCTCAGGTGACTTGGATATTTTTATAGATGAAGGTGCTGCAGGTAAACCAGGAGTCCTGGCATTTGCTAAGGCCTGTAATATAAGAAAAATAAAGTCCACTTTAAGAATTTAAAATAAAATATTATTTTAGTTATTCTATACTCCAGCTTTTTTTTTTTTGTATATTATATATATATATATATATATATATATATATATATATATATATATATATATATATATATATATATACATATACACACAATATTGTCGGAGTCTGTATTATATTAAGCTCATGTTATGTAAGGAAGCCTGTTCTAATCTTTCAGGCAAATTAGGGTGAGCAAATTAGGGTTAGCAAATTAGGGCACGCTCGTATTGCCTTGGTTCCTCAATTCTCCGTTATGATCTCTTATTTTTCTTTTAGTTAATTATCAAATTCTTTCACATTTTATATTTAACTATCTTTTATTTTAGATATCAATGTAAAATGAAATGAAATGAAAAAAATGTTTTATTATTCTGGGACTGTTGTCCCTTAAGAACAAAATATGAATACAGATTATATGTCTGTGTGGCTACAATTGAATTGTATATTTACAATGAAAGTTGACTTACGATAAAAATACAGAAAAGAGAAAAAAAGAACAAGTAAATTGTACATATGTATGAGAAACTAAAATAACCTTAATAAATTGAGGTAGTCTCTGGTGGTGCTCAGATATTTCTCTAAGATATATTTCACAATCATTCGGATTGAGAAAGGAGTAGGTGCTTAAAGAGGAGTGGTTTAAACGAGGAAACTGATTGAGCGTGTCGAATATCAGCTGGGATGGAATTCCAGAGGGAGGCGGCTTGTATTGCAAAGGATTTGTCAAACGCAGCAGTTCGGTGAGGAGGAGGATAGAGGTCGGAAGTACGAGATCTGGTGGGACGGGATTGGATGGAATATTTGAATTGTAAGCTGTGAAAAATGTAGGAGGGTCGATGGGTTCTAATAATTTGGTACAGAAAGGTGGCTAGGAAGTACTGACGGCGATAGGATGGGTAGAGCCACCTCAACTCAGTGTAATACTGGGTAATATGCGTATCCCTTGAGATTCCGAAAACAAATCGTAGTGCGCAATTCATTAGGCGTTTAAGTTTGGCCTCGGAATCTCCCGGGAGTCCACCGTACACCATACAGCCGTAGTCGAAGTGGGGGAAAACAAGGGAGGAAACTAGGAGTTGACGGGACTTATATGGAAGGAGATATCGTAGACGATTGAACTGTTTTAGGGTGGAGATAGTGCGACGGGAAATTTGGGATATGTGAGGTTTCCAGGATAGGGATTGATCGAAAGTAACACCTAGGTTTTTAACGGTGGTGTAGAATAAGATAGGTGAGTTGTTCAGGAAGAGATTGGGAGATACTGGGGAGGATTTGAGGAGTGAAGGGGATCCGATCAAGATGGCTTTTGTCTTCTCGGCGTTCAGAGTGAGCCTATTGAGGTTTGCCCAAGCACTTATTCTGTCAATATCTTCCTGAAGTTTTTGAGTGGCATCTGAGATATCTGTCGGATTAAAGGAGAGGTAAATTTGAATGTCGTCGGCATACAGGTGGTAATGACAGTGCAGGATAGAGGATGGGAGGTCATTTATATAGATGGAGAAAAGGGTGGGGGATAAGGAAGAGCCTTGTGGGACGCCTCTGGTCAGAGGTAGAGATTCTGATGGTGGGTTATTAGGAATTACAACGTACTGGGAGCGACCGGTTAGGAAGGATTGGAACCAATTAAGGGAACTAGAAGAAAAAGAGATATTTTTAAGTTTGGTTAGGAGGATGTTGTGGTCTACTGAATCAAAAGCTTTGGAGAAGTCTAGGAGAATAAGGATGGTTAGTTTCTGCTGATCTATGGCTGTGTGAAGGTCTTGGGAAATTTTGATTAGGGCAGACTGAGTAGAATAACCAGGCCTGAATCCAGACTGGTAGGGATTTAGGAGATTATTGTCCTCTAAAAAATGGGATAGCTGGGATTGGACTAACCGCTCTAATGGTTTTGAGAGGTTTGAAAGGAGGGAAATCGGTCGGAAATCATTAGGAACTGATGGGTTTGAAGTCTTCTTCAATGGGCGTACTAGGGCGGTTTTCCAGGATGTAGGGAAGGTAGCATTTTGAAGAGAATAATTGTATATATGATAAAGGATCGGAAGAATGGATGGCAATGCGGCTTTAATCAGTCTGACTGGGATGTTGTCGGGACCGTAATCATTGGTATGGGACTTCTGAATGGATTTAAGGAGCTCATCTGGTGTAATATGGGAAAGAAAGAAGTGATCAGGATTAAAGGAAGAGAACATAGGAGCCAGACTGGACGTGGGAGATGTGGATGCAAGAGGACAGGAGACAAAGTGAGCGTTGAGGTTATCAGCAGAAACGGAATTGGACTGAGACTGGGGTGTATTACCAATGGTCAGTTTTCTAAGAATAGCCCACGTAGCCTTGGTATTGGGAGAGTTGGATAGGGAATGATGGTAGTAACGGGATTTAGCACGGCGTACTGCTGATTGAGTGCTATTTCGAAGCTGTTTGTAGGAGAGAAAATCATCAGGAAGTCGAGTTCGTTTAAACCGTCGCCTTGCAGCATCTCTTTCTCTCATACACTCCCTCAAAGCAGGGGTAAGCCAAGGAGCTGGAGGATATCGGATGGTTTTTGTGATAAGAGGAGCATGTCGATCGAGGATAGAGTGAAGTTGAGTGGTTAGGATTTCTACCATGGTGTCTATGGATTTTGAGGAGTAGATGGGATCCCACTGGATATCGTCAAGACCTTCTGACAATGTTTCGTGAGTGAGATAATCTAGGTTTCGGAAGGATATTGTTCGGGGAGAAAAGGATGGAACAGGGACATTGTAAGAGATCTGGACAAGATCGTGGGAAGATAGAAACGGAACCGGGTGCTGAGATGCGGCAAGGAGTTTGTCTGAGGAATCCAGGATAATTAGATCGAGCCAGGACTCTGAATACTGAGTATGATGGGTTGGATTGTAGGGTACTATGTAAAGGCTGAGAGAATTAAAGAGGTTTGTTAGGTAGGAATAATCAGAGGATGGTGCCAGTAAATTGGTGTTAAAGTCACCGGAGAGGATGATGTTTGAGTAGGAAGGGATTAAGTTGTACAATAAAGTCTCAAGTGATTCATCGAAAGGAATTCTAGGAGGGCGATATATGACAGCAAACAGAATGGCAGATGAGGTGGTGAGGATTTCGGCGAAAAGGTATTCAACGTGCGGAGAATCGGTTATGGAAGAGCAGTGAAGGATTTTGGATTTGAGACTGTCATGGACAAAGAGACCTACTCCACCACCCGTGCGATCTACTCTGTCTTAAAATGGTCAATTGTTTCAAATAAGAAAAATTAAAGGTACTTTAGAGGAAGCTAATATTGAAAATTAGCCATTTAAGCCCTGTTAGAGAACAGCAATCATAATAAAATATATATTTTATTAAAAACTGCTGAAGCTTACACTGATATAATAAATTTAATAAAAATTGTTAGAATCGTTTTTGAGAAAATCGTAAAAATGTGTTAAGTCCAAGATATGTAGTGTCACTTTCGGTTAGACGATGTTGACGAAAAAGTTGCTGTAACATCCCTAGCATATAAAAACCGTAAATATGCAATTTCACTTTGGTACGACTTTTCGCTTTTGAGCTAGACTGTTTAACACACAGACACAGACCATTTTGTGGGACTTGTTTATTTACATTTAGTAGACCTCAAAACATGTATTTCCATTGAAATACATGTGTGGCATTGCTTAACTTGGTTATCTATTGCAAGCACCTTAGCCCGCACGGCTACCCCAGCCCCCATATATATATATATATATATATATATATATATATGCACTCCTTTAACAATAAATGAGATATTACAATTTATGTTTTTAAATATCTGTGATTTTCTGATTGAGTTGTTAATGTTTATCAACTAAATTTAAAAAAAAAAGTGAAAGTAAAAAAATCATAATCAAGTGATATTTAGTAAGTAATAATAAATATGTTTGTACTTATGCCCAACGGTTATCTGAATGTTTATTGGTACCAGATTGGCTGCATGGGTAATGTTGGGATTAACCGAATCATGTTTTAAAAGGCATCTGCTAGGGCTGATCGACCTCTTGGGAATGGTAGACAATGCATTCTTTGACCCCTGGGTCAATCTTGTTTGATAGGTATAAACGAAAATCTGCTTAAAATGATCCGAAATTTGATCACCAAAAATGTGTTTTTGAGTCGCGTCTGCTCGGCGTAATCGATCAATTTGAATTGGCAGACGATGTTTTCTGTGACCTCCAGTCAACATAGTTTTGTGAGGTGTAAGAGAAAATGTCCCAAAATTTTGAAATTGTTGATAGGTTCAAATGCCCCTAAAACCGTAAGTTGCCCTTTTGACAGCTCAAGTAGGCCGGTCTGAGCTGGCAGATGAGCATTTTCATTATACCTAAAACAAGTACTATAAGTATGTTAAGTTTACAATTTGCTACAGTTTAAAATACTACAGCCTTTTCGGAGATTGTGGGACTAATATAATTTTTTGAGCGCATGTCCTGACCGTTTTTCATCCATTGGTGTAATTTACATAATATAAGTTCTCTATGATTATAATTTATTTTTTAATTTATTTTACTTGTTAGACCTTTTAAGTCAATATTCTTTCCATCATTAGAAACCTATTATTTACAGTTACTGGTATGTAGGGTTACAAATGATAATAAAATGAACAAATAGCTCCAAAATAAGTATCAATTGTAGAAAAAATTATATATTCACAAATGGAGCACAGCAAAATAAAGTAAAATATAAATGTAATTAATTATAAATATTTAAAGAAAATATTGAAAAATCCCCGTACGATTTCGAGAAATTGTCATATACTTGACAACCAGCAGTAGTGTGAGCGGACAAGGCCAGGACAGGGTAATACTAGTGTAGGTATAAATATACACACTAAATAGAGCATAACGATTATGAATGATTATTGTATAACACAAAAATAACTTCTTTTTTTTATACAAAATAATGAGTGTTAGTAATTTAATAATAATCAAATAAGTAAAGAGTTCATAATAACAACTACAAAAATGAGTAAGAAAAATAACTCATAAATTTTATAGAGCTTGAACCTCCTAGCATTCTGACAGAGCTGTTTTAAAACAATAATTACAAAAAAATATTTATAGACATATACCTCATTTTTATCACTGCAAGCAGGTTTTAGATTTTTAATTTCAGGTTTTATTTCTGGATGAATAAGTTTAGACAATTCATCTTCAGTATTTAAAGAAGTGCTTCTAGGAGAAGATGGTGGAGAATCTTTATCACTGTCCATTTTTTCTCCCTCTTTAGATGGTAATTGTGGAAATATGTTAGTAGTTAAAGCTGCAGTGGCCAAAGTAGTAAGACCATCAGCAGTAGCAAGAGTAGTCAGCCCCTCGGTTGTCTCTCCCAAAATTTCCTGGAAAAAAACAATTAAATAAAACATAAAATAATGAATAAATCATAAATAATTACTGCATTAGAAGATTATATATAATTTTATAAAACAAAAAAAAAAAAAAATAATAATAAAAGAAATGCAGAAAAGTTATAAACAGTGATTTGATATATATACTGCGAGTAGATTCATGGTGACTATCAATTTTGGTAACATAAATTCCAGCTAAACCTTAACTTTTTTTTATTAAAAAACAACAACATAATTTTTCTATATCTACACAAATGGCTGAGATGTGGTTGTACAACACTTTTAATTTCCTGCTATTTTTAAACAAAATTGTGGATGGTAATTTCAATTACGGAGTATAGCCATGCGACCTTGGTGCCAGATCTAAAAAAAATTGATACCAGTAGTCTTGAAGAAAAGACCAGGATATAAGTATAGTCCGAGTCAACTACAATTTTGAAATAAATTGGCAAATGGTAATGCTAAATTCTCTGGTTCTTCCTCGGTTGATCTGGCATAGGTGGTGAATCAGAAAAAAAAAGGCTCAAATTTTCAGAGAAAAATCATGGGTATATATGACTATATATCAGGTGTGCGAATAAGTTTCCACTGTTTGTTATCTACATAATTTTTTTTACCTATGTACATCTGGCAATACTGGAACCATTTTTATTCAAGCAAATCCTCTATGTTTGGAGTTGCCTAAATATGGAATATAAATGCTAATATAAATTGCCTTTATTGGCACTAAAACAAGTTTTTAATAAATAATTTTAAGAACACAATTACAAAAATCTGGTGTGGTGCAAGCATCAAACAACTTTCAAATATCACCCTCTTCATAACAGAAATAAATATTTTCAGACAAGGGGGAAGTGAAACTAAAAACTTTAAATGCTATATTGATTTATATTTCGTTGTGGCTATTTTTATATGTATAAGTACTTTTATATATACAAATTTTAATTTTTATATCGCTGTAATCTATACAATTAAATATTAAATAATAGCAACAATAGCATTTATGAAAACCACTTATTTATATTTACATAATATTGTTGGAGTCCTTATTATATTAAGCACATGTTACGTATGGAGGCGTATTCTGATCTTTCTGGTGAGCTCGGGTGCACTCCTATTCCTACGGTTCCTGAATTAGAACTATTCTCCATCTTAATCTTTTATTTCTCCTTTAGTTAATTATCAAATTCTTTCATATAATATATTTAACTATCTTTTATATTAGAGATTAATGTGAAATGGTCAATTGTTTCAAATAAAAAAAATTAAAGGTACTTCAGGGGAAGCCAATATTGAAAATTAGCCATTTAAGCCCTGCTAGAGAACATCAATCAGAATAAAACCTAGATTTTATTTAAAACTGCTTAATTTTACACTGATGTAATGAATTTAATCAAAATTGTTAGAGCCTTATTCAAGAAAATCACAAAAATGAGTTCAGTCCACGATATAAAGTGCCACTTCTGGTTATCCGATTTTAATGAAAATGTAACATCCTAAGTATATAAAAACCTTAAAAAGGTAATTTCACTTTCGTACGACTTTTCATTTTTGAGCTAGACTGTTAACATACAAACACACAGACCATTTTGCAGGACTTGATTATTTCGACTCAGGGGACATCAAAACATGTATTTCCATTGAAAATTCAGATTCGAAAATTTTCACGATTGCAACACTTTCCCTTACTATATATTTCATATATAGGTAACTGAAAGTAAAAAGAAATTAAGATTACTGAAAAAATAAAAAAAATTATAATCTATAACGACCAACTGATGTATGCACTGTAATACGTTTGATGTGTCATATTTATACTTTATAAAAATGTATCATATGTATACTTTATGATAATGATCCTAAATCATAACTAAATTCGTGCTTGGGTTCCCTAGCTTGAAATCTGACTTGATGTTTTTATCAAAAAATTCCCTGACCTTTCCAGAAATTCCAAGTCCAGTAGATACCCTGAGATATAATTCCTTATGCAATTTATTATTACTAATGTAGAGCTTTAAATTTTAATTAAAATAAGAATTTAAATTATCTTATCTCATTTCTTACCTTGTCCCTTTGTGAAGATAATAATGCATCATCTGATCTTGAACAATAGGACAAATCGGTTCTTGAGTAGACTGGATTTTCGTTTTTAGGATAATTAGTTTCCTCACTTTTATTATAACTCGTCTCATCATTTTTAGTATACATACTACCATCCCCTTCATCAGCAATTGAACTAGCATCCATTAGTAATGAATTGGACAAAATATCAGCAGTATCGGGCGGTGGTGAACCAACCATATCATCAGAGAGCTGATCTGTAGTATGTGGGATACCTAAAAGATAGCATAAACATTTTATTCTCAAATATATATATATTTTATATTTATCTATTTATTATTCATTGACTTGTTTAAATAAATTTAAATAATCAGACAGACAAAAAGCTGCAAAAAAATTCTTATTAAACAATAATCAACTAAATATTAACCAGGATTGTTGACTAAAGGAGAGCTGAAACCAATGATTGCACTTAACTAGTAATATATTTATAATAATTCAAAGAACATAAAATATTAGATCCACAAAATTATACTAACCAAATGAACAAAATATAATTAATCTCTTTATAATTTACACAACTTAATAAACAAATACTCTCTACAATAATCTATACCAAGCAGTAATTCAACCATGTTTTAGATAATAAATAACAGTTATTTTAGTAGTATTATAGATAATACTTTGCACACAGAAAATTTCAACCATGACAGATTTACTCATTTATGTTAATAAATAATCATAATAATAATAGATAATTATTTTTTTTTTATTATTTCAGTTTTTTATACGTATTGTAATCTGAATTCCAGGATTGTTTCTCCACATACCCTCTCTCCTCTCGCAGCCATCCCTTCTTTAATTTTTTCTAGCCTAATCTTTCTTGGCCGTCATCTCTACTTTCTATACTCTTGCTTGTGTAGGAAAACTTTTTTTGGCTATCAGTCATCTCTTATTCTCATTAAGTGGCCATACGATTAGGGGCCTCTTGCTTGCTCATTTTTCTTTCTGATCTTTATTTTTCTAATCATTATTTGACAAAGGCAGTAGCCTAGAGATGGATTCTAATAAAATCCATCTAGGGCTAATTGTTTTTGAGCATATTAATGTTTTATTGTCCAGGCTTCAGTGCAATATAGGAATATTCATGAATGATAGAAATATAGAAATGAATGATATATATATATATATATATATATATATATTTATTTTTTTTTGTTTCTATGGAAAGTTTTTCATTCTCAAGCACCAAGTTAAGGATTCCAATAATTTTTCTCCCTCGAGATATCTTTGATGAAATGTCAGTATCAAAGGTTCTATTTTCATTTATCTGTACTCCTAAATACCAAAATTCTGTGCTATGGGGAAGAACCGAATTTATTATTTTATAACCAAACCCCATTTAGAATACTCCTCTATAAGTTTTTTCAGCATATATTACAGGTCACATTCATCTCATGCAATGACAAACCAAACTTCTGCAAATTGCAAGGTGAATAGGAAGTCCTCACTAATCTTTACATCCATATTTCTGCATTTTTCTTTCCATTTCTTAAAGACTAGTTATATGAATATGTTATGGGGAGAAGGAGATAAGCGGCAACCTTTCTTTAAGCCTTTACTATTGGGAAATGCTGGAGTTTGGCCGTGGCAGTCTATTGTGATAGATCGTCTCGATGTCTAAATGGTGTATCAAAAGTTAAACTCGTTCAATAAAAGTGATTTTTGACATGGTGCTTAAATTTATATTAATTAATACGTTTACAAAGTTTAATTAAGTTAGGGCAAGAATTAAAGGAGTTACTAAGAAACAAAGAATCAGTACTTAGCAGTGAGTTGCCAATCTCTTATCTCTTAAAATCAGCAGGCAATTTCTCGTCATCCACCACTGCTGTATACCACATTTCACGGCCAGTGTTAATCTTAACCAGCTGTATTTATTATAACCATCTACAGAAACTATTCAACTATTTTGCACAATGACTGTTACTAACGAAAATTTAATGGAAGTAATAAATAGAAATAATGAAGAGTCGAAAATTTTGTGGAACAAAATAACGGTAATATTGGACTCATTGATGGCAGAAACTCCGAGCAAGAAAAAAAAAAATACTTCATTAGAAAACGAAATAAGGTTTATAAAGAGAGAAGGGAGAAAGAATAACATCATATTTTTTAAAGTGCCTTATTCGGAAAACAAAGATATATCGTCAACAGTGACTAATGTATGTCAAGAAGTTAATGTAGAATTCCCAAAATATTCTATAAATAATTGTTTTTGGAAAAGGGTGAGAACCAAGACCAATTGTGTTATCCCTTAACAATAGCAATATTAAACAGGCAATAATGAAAGGAAGAGACGCTTTAGCAAAAAAGAATTACAGGTTAAGCCATGACAGGGTCACCGGAAGATAGGGAAGAGGGCAGGCGAATTTTCGCTTGTATGAATAAACTAAAACATATAGACAAAAATGTGTCATTAATATGCTCAAAAACTATTAGCCCTAGAAATGGCTTTTATTAGAAGCTGTGCCATCTCTAGGTTACTGCCTGCGTCAAATAATGATTAGAAAAATAGAGCTCTCAACTCTAAATACAACCCACTTTACAGAACTATTTGTCCCTTTAACAGCCCTCAGTTGCAAGAATATTTAACTTCTCATGTAGAGAGAAACACTTTATTTTCATATATATATAAATATAAATAAACTGAAACTCGTTAGCCAATTAAGAATTTCAGATACTGAAAAGTTGAAACTTTTTCATAAGAATACTACTTGTATTATAAGAACAGGGGGAAAATTTAGATGGTGTCAAGAATATATCTCCCAAAATTTAGAACACTTGTTATTGCAATGTCCCACACTGAGTATTAACAGGGAAAATTACCTGGGAAATTATATTGTTCAAAACAATAAACAATTGTCCATAGACAATAACTACAATAAACTAAATAAGATCTATCTCTTTTTGTTAAAACTATATATACTTAAAGTAACAACGAATCTACATAATTTGTGTAACAAACCGATTACTACTTAATAAATACCAAAAACAGGGGCATGGTCAAAGGAGAGGCTTGAAAAGTTAATTCATTATATTTTAAAATTATATTTGGATGTACACTTTTATATGTTGTATTAGGAATAACTATTTAATTATTTATTATAAATTTAAAAAAAATTAATTTATTGTATTATTAAATTATATTAAGATATTATAGTAAGCAATAGGAATTTACCTATGTATACGTATTTATATCTGCTTATATATGCTTCCATTGTCATACTAACACCAAATGGGCCTAATTTCATGTCTAAAAGATGTATATATTATCTAATAAACTATCTATCTATTGGGAAATCCTGAGGATAAATGATTCCTAATCTTCACAACTATATAGAGGCTCTGGATCCTTTTCATCAAATCTTCACTGATACCTACCACACTCGGTGCTTCCCAGAGCATATATAAGAGTACCAACCAAGTCATATATCTCCTCCTCATCTGTGATTTCTTTGTAATTTATAATGAAACTAATCATGGGTTAAATTTGAGTATTTTCTATTTACATTCTCCAGGTCAATAAAGGCTAAAGCACCTCTTGCTTATCTTATTCCCTCACTTGCCCCATAACATAAGTTGGCAACTGTGGTTTACATTAGAACCATTAGGCCCTGGAAATGTGAGCTTTTAAATTTTATGCAAAATAATGGGAAGAGTTGTCAACACAAAAAATGATATTTTCTCTGTCCTATAGGTTTGATTTATTTACTTTCCAGTCTATAAAAAAGTTCACCAAACATTTATTTTTCATGGTTAGCAAACTGCAGGAGGTTCCCGTCAAACTGAGGATAACCTGGTTTACATCTACTTTCAGTTTTAATGTTCTCCAGTTACTTTTTATTGTCTCATCATTCACATTTCCATTTTCTTCGCACGTATTTTTATTAAATATCTACAGTGTGAAATAATTAATTGTTTAAAACAAACAAAAGTAAAAGTACTTTAGAGGAAGAAATTATGAAAAATCGACATTTACACCCTGTTGGAGAACATCAATGAGAATAAAAACTACCATATGTTAAAAAACACTTAAATGTACACTAGCATAACGAGTTGAATCAAAATCGTTAGAGCAATTTGTGGGAAAATCATAAAAATGTGTTAAATCGATGATATAAAGTTCCACATCCTGTTTGCCAATTTTAATGAAAAAGTTGTAACATCCCAGCCATATAAAAACCTTTAGTTAAATATTAAATTCTTTTATATTTTTTACTTTAAGTTGCAAGAAATGGTTAATTATTTTAAGTAAAAAAATTGAAGGTACTTAAGAGGAAGAAATTTTGGCATTTAAGACCTGCTATTGAACATCAATGTGAATAAGACTGTAATTTTACACTGATATAAGGAATTTAATCAAAAATTTGTGAGCCATTTTTGAGAAAATTGTAAAATTAATAATAACATAAAGCAGCACTTCCAGCGACTTTCCGATTCCAGCCAAAAAAGTTTCTGTAATTTCTCAGGTATATATAAACCTTAAATATGCACATTCACTTTTGTACGAATTTTTGTTTATGAGCTCGTGATAGATGTAACACTATTTGTAATAATTGAGCTTGTAGTAGTAATAAAAAAAAAAACACGCACACACATACAAAAACAAATCTTGCAAAATGGTATGTGTGGGAACAGACAAGCTCAAACTAAAGAATCATACAAAATTGAAAGTGCGTATTTGAGATTTATACATACCTGGGATATTACAGCAACTTTTTCGTGAAAATCGGCTAACCAGAAGTGCTAATTTATATCATAAATTTTACATATTTTTATAATTTTCTCGAAAAGAGCTCAAACAATTTTGATTAAATTCATTATATCAGTGTAAAATTAAGCTGTGTTTCATATAATGTAGGTCTTATTCACATGGATGTTCAATAACAGGGCTTAAATGCCAAAATTTCTTCTTCTTAAGTACCTTCAATCTTTTTACTTACATAATTAACCATTTCACACATCCTCATATAAAATAATTTAATAATTAACTAATGAAGAAATAAAGGATAAGTAGAGAATTTTGTTTATGACCTTGGAGTGATGTGGACAAATAAACAAATTGAAATAATTACCCAATTTTTGAAATTCTTATTTGATGTATGAAAAAGTTATGAGATTGAATGTTTAGTTATACTTCTCTATAAGAATAAAATTAACTAGCATTACCCTAAAAATTACTGAAATATGAATAAAAAATTATGAGGTATTTAGCCTGTGGAAAATTATTCCTAAGAGAATTTTGTATGAAAACTCGATTTTCTATTGTTGACATCAATATTTGTAAGAAACTCTGTTTTCTATTGATAACATCAATTTATACTTTTTACTTTGTACTTTAAAAAAAAACTTACAAGGAGAGCTAGAATTGACTACCAATTTGGGTTCTATATCAGAATCACATCTAACAGATTCCAGATCTGGCAAGTCTCTTGAATCTTCTTTTAACTGCTGCAATTCCTTGGCAAGATCCATAACATCAGATGTCTCGGTAACTTCCTTGTTTAAATAATTACCGTTGTCTTCGGAGTCTTTTTTTCTAACATTCAAATCAACTGGAGAATCAATTAATCCTGCCTCAGCAGCCAAAGCTGTTAAGGCTGCATCAGAAGCAGGGCCCACAGTTGAACCTAAAAATATTAGATAATTGAAGGTTTTAATATACTGTAAAGATACAATCATTATAGTGATTAATAATGAAATAACTAATTATCCACATTGGAAGATTAATTATAATTACTAGGGAAACATCCAAAGCAAAGCTTCAAGTTGTTCAAATAACAGTAAATACCTAATCTCTGTGAAGTTAGTCACTTACTGTCAATGTTTTTACAAAATTCTTAGAGTTGTGATAGCCTTGTAAGAGGGCATAGTTTCTGATAAATTTGTATACATCTTTTATATAACTATTTATATAAATAGTTCTGTTGTTTGAACCACGAATAATAGCACATAATGGGAACAGGGGGCTCAAAATTTTGAAGACTAATAACACTTTTGCAATCAATTTTAGACCTATGGTTTTAGAGATTACCATAAAATATTTTCATCCCTATATAGTATAGTAAGCTTGTACATTGCAAGTTGCATCAAATGGGGGTAGAGAAAGTTTCTTATTTCTTTTCTTGTATGAGATGTGATTGAGATGCAAAATCTATGTTTTTAATTTCGAAACTAGACACAATTGGACCACATGGTCTATTTTGGTAACCCATGACAGTTACCTCAAGATTGCCACTGCATATCGATCAGAGGGGAATGTCAAAATTCATTTCCCGGGGCCATCGAGAATTGAAAATTTAACCAACCTGGCTGAAATACGAAATCTGGGGCCTGCGACCCAAAGTGCTTTGCCTAACTTATGACGGTTACCTCAAGATTGCCACTGCACATTGATCAGAGGGGGGATGTCAAAATTCATTTCCCGGAGCTATTGAGAATTAAAAATTTAACCAACCCGGCTGAGAATACGAAATCTGGGACCCGTGCCCCAAAGTGCTCTGCCATCATGTCCTAACACATGTTGGTAAGTATTAATTGATAGGAATAATGGTATTTATAACATGTGGGTAAGTAAAAATTAATAGAAGTAATAGTAACTTTTAACAATACTAGTGAATGTATATTTGGTATTGTTCCCAGACTTCTTCAATAGCATCTCCGGGGAGTTAGCTTTCAGAATAGTTGAGCAACCTACCTATATCGTCATATTTGTTGTTGAGTTCATCAAAATCATGGGGGTTGACATCAACGTCTAATTTGCAGCATCTTGTCTGGGAAGAAATCTGGTCAGGTTGAAACTAGTCTTGGAAGGACCCTTTGTGAAGAGCTGGTAGCACAGGTTGTTGAGGGTTTCTCTCGACCTTTCTCCACCGTTCAGTTCAATGCCTTTCTTGCCAGTATCAACTACTTGGGTAGATGTAGCATCTGGATAAGAAATAACTGCAGCTTTCTCTTTAAGATGTATATGTTTCAGTAGTATTTGAAATAATTTGAGATTCTCTTAATAACTAGTGGAACCTGTCCACTAGGTAGCACGTCCCCCGGGTGGGTGATGGGGATCCCTCTTAGGAAGGGTGGTCTGAATATACTGAATAAAGACCCATGGACCAACAGGTACCCAGTGCGGGGGGTTACAGCCCAGCCACCCTACCTCCTGAGGGGATATAAATATTCAGGAGGCCAGTTGTCCCAAGGATACGGGACCTCCAGCACTGGGCTAATCACCCATCTGGAAAATCAATGATTCAGAGCAATTCAACTAGCCTCGGATGCGGACTTTCTTCAAGGAAACGACCTAGCACGCTAAGGAATATACGAATGGGAACGTAGAACATAAAAACTTCAACTGGGAAAGAGGTTGAGCTGGTGAAGGAAATGACCTAGAAATTCTCGGCATAAGTGAAGTAAAGAAGAAGGGCAGTGGAGAAATGAAATTGGCTAATATTTACTCCCTAATTTATGCTGAAGTACCTAGAGGGGTTTTCGCCAAAGAAGGGGTGGGCCTAGTAATGTTGCCTAATATGTATGATCATTTAGAGGACTGGGAGCCGATATCTCCAAGAGTGATTGTAGCAGATTTGTGAGATGACCATAGGTAAGATCTCCCTAATCCAGGTGTATGCACCAACGGAAGACGCTAGTGTTGCAGACAAGAAGGCATTCTACTCGGATTTGCAAAAAATAGTGGATAAAGCTAAAGGAAAAGAAAGGTCAGTAATCCTCAGTGGAGACTTCAATGCCAGAACAGGAAATGATGAGAGATCTGGATATGGAGTTCTAGGGATGCATGGAGGTGAGAATGTGAGGAATAATAATGGACAGCGGCTAATAGACTTTTGTGTAGATAATGACTTCCTCATAGAAAATTCTTTCTATCCACGTACAAGAGAATACACAAAATCACTTTCTCATGCATGGAACGAAATAGTGTAATTGACTATTTCATGTATGATAGGAACATAAGGCAGTATTTCGCTGATATAAAAGTAGTAAGAGGGGCGGAGATAAGCAGCGACCACCTTTTACTTGTGGCTGATACAAAGATCATTCCTGAATATAAAAGGAAAATAAAAGAATTTGAAACGCTCAACGTAAAGGCCTTGGATGACCCAGATAAAAGGGCCCTCTTTACAGAAAGCCTGGAAAATAAATTAAGAGAAACGTCATTCGATGGAGACATGGAAGAGATATGGAAGGCACTGAAAACATGTATTCTGAAAACAGCAAATACAGTTTGTGGGAAGAAGAGAGTGTCTGGTAAGGAAAAGTGGACAGACTGGTGGACCAATGTCCTCCAACAAGTGGTTTCTTGGAAGAAGCTTGCCTGGAAAGCATACCTAAAAGATAGAACTGAAGGAAAGCTACACGTTTATCGAATAGCCCGGAATGAATGTAAGGCAGCCATACGCCAGGCCAAGAAGTCGTGGGAAGATTTTGGTAAAAGACTGAGCAAGGACCATCGCGAATTCATAAGAACATTTTGGCGAAAAGTTGAAATGTTTATAGAAAAGCAATGCAAGCCCATTAGAAATGTAAAAGGTAATGATGGAACCGAACTTACAGACAAGGAAAAAAATCCTTGGCAGATGGAAGCAGTATTTCCAGGAACAATTCTCCGAAAACCCAGAGACAGACCATTGCCAAGAAAAAGAGCCCAATATTCAAGAAAGTCTGCAGATTATACAGAAAGAAGAAATAGAAAATGCAATCCTTAAGCTAAAAAGAGGTAAAGCATCAGGAAGGGATGGAATTGTACCAGAGTATTTGAAATATGGTGGTCAAGAACTTCTTAAAGCACTTCAATCGCTGTTCCAAGAAGTATATGACAAAGAAAATTCCCAGGAGCTGGGAATATTGTATAATCCTCCCGATTTATAAAAAAGGATACACGACAAACTGCAAAAATTATAGACCCATTAGTTTGCTTTCAGTAGTCTATAAACTCTACACTTCTATTCTAGAAAGGAGACTCCGGCGGATTGTGGAAGAGCAGTTAGAAGCGGAACAGGAGGCTGGTTTCCGTCCAAGCCGACAGACACAGGATCACATCTTTGTCCTCAGAAATATTGCTGAAAAAGCTTGGGACAGAGATAAAAATTTGTATCTTGCATTCCTTGATCTGAAGGCAGCATTTGATGTGGTAAAAGAAATTTGGAATGCCCTAATAGCCACGGGTGTACCCTGAGACCTGCTGGCTGCCATACAGTCAGCCTACCAAGGAGCCAAGGGAAATAGCTTAAGTCCCCTTCTATTTATAAATGTGATGGACAAAATCCACAAAATCTGCAAGCGCCGAACTGCGTGGACAACAATTGGGAAATGGAATATGGGAAATGTCCTCATGCAAAGCCTTTTATATGCGAATGAACTAGTCCTAATAACCGACAACAAGAGCAAATAACAACAAACTTTGGTAGAATGGGAGGAAGAGTTACTCAGGAAAGGGATGCAAATTAACACCTCCATGAGTAAAGTGCTGGTTATGGCGAGGGAAGAACAGGAAGATGTACAACTGATCTGCAACGGCAAGACACTTGAGGTAGTGAGTGAATATACCTACTTAAGGACCATAATTAGTAGCTCGGGTAAGATAGACGCCGAAATATCAAACAGAATATGCAAGGCGAATCAAATTACCAGACTACTAATAGCATCATCGGCTACTGCGAAGTAGACAAGAAGACCAAAATGAATGTATATAAGTCTGTTTACCTACCTATACAAACCTACGGCGGAGATAGCTGGACAATGCTGGACAGGCACTCATAACGGCAGCAGAAATGAGGTTCCTTCACAGATCTGTTGGGAGAACTAGAAGGGATCACATTAGGAATGAAAGCATCAGAGAGCAACTAGGAGTTACCGAACTTAAAACCACTCTAGAAAGAAAGCAACTCCAGTGGTTTGGACATGTCTGCCGCATGAACGAGAACATGAAACCTATAAAGATATTAGAGGCTCGACCCACAGGAAGGAGACCACGCAGACGTCCCAGAATTACATACCAAGAATATATCCAAAGAGTTGGAAGTAAAAGAGGCAAAACCCTCAATGAGATGAAACGGCTAAGCAGGGAACGGGAAGAGTGGTTACGCTGGATTGAGGCTCCTTGAAGCTAACTAAAATGGCATAAGAGGAAGACAAAGAAGAAGAAGAGATTTTCTTGGCCGAAGAAGTACGAGATGGAATCCCAGTCAATGAAGGCGAGACTGAAAGTGATGAGCTAACTGTCTGCAGATGTTTATGCCATTGAGCAGAAGACATCTGGCATTTAGCCTCTTCCACACTTCTGAAAGAATATGGTACCTAGTTGCATGACCCCTGAGACCAGTGAAGATGAGCAACAGGTGTACGTCCTGCTATAACCATGATCTGAAAATCAAAGGCCTTCCTGATATTTCTATTGATGATTAGCGTGTCAGTACCTTCTTCGGCCTGAAAAACCTCACTGTGTTTAGCAAAACAGATTGTATCTAGCGTAGAGTACTACCAAATCATTCTCCTCTGAAATTTGTTCCTTTATTTTGATGGCCCAATCGCCATCTTTTCATTCAGCTGTTTTTGATAAGTTTAAGTTCAAGTTCTTATCAACAGTGATCACAAAATTTCTTTTTTCTTGCATGTTTTTCTTCTATGCTTCAACGAGCTCTTTTGTTATAACTTTTCCACATATGTAACACTGCAGATATGCTTCACATATGCTCTCTGAAATTAACATTTCTCAGGCCCTTGTTGCCTGGTCACATTTGTGTCTCCACATTTAACTGCTGCTTTGACCAATTTTGGATTGTTATAACCCTTCTTGCACGCTCTAGGTACATAAATCTCCGCCAAATGTTTCAATAAACATTCATTGTCCCAATTTTTAATTGCAACACTAGACACTTGTAGAGTTTAACACCTTTTTCTTTCATCAAGACTATTTCACCCACATTTAAACTTTCATTGCATATAAAACGCTTAAAACTCACGGACAATCCTGGCTCTGACATAGTGAGAGCTTTGGGTCTTAAAGTCATAAATAACTTATTTCAAATACACGATATTAACGAGTAAATCAATCATTATTAACGGTCAGGCCTTGGCTTCAACTAAGTCGAGCAATGTTTTGAAAGGTGGGATAAGCTTCTTTTTTTTTTTTTGTTGCCCGCTGTTTAACTAGGAAGAAGATCGAACAAAATAAATGGCTAAGTCAACCTAGCTCATTTATTTTATCAACTCAATCAAAGAAGAGAATTTGGAAATTTCAAACCTCCCCCCTTCCCTTTCTACCTTGGCCTCCTTCTCAGAACAAGAAAAACTTAGGATACTATTATTTGATGTCCAACAGATTATAACCATTTCCAGCTTTCAACACTTACTTCCAACAGCAATCTAATTTTTGTTTGTATGTTGACACTTTGACAGGATACCTGCTTTTCCGCATTAGCTGTCCCCACTTAAAGAGGTAGGAGCATTTATTAGTCCCTGATTTTATTGTTTTCTTCTACTTCATTTGTCTGATAATGAATTTAATATGTTTAAGAAAGTTGTTATTTAATTTCTGTTAATAATCGTCAACATAATTTATAAAAATCTTATGGATTTTATTAAATTTCTTTTTAGCTTTATCCAACAGATTATACCACTAAGATTAATCGGTATGGTCCCACCCATCGGTAGTCCATTTCTAATTTTAAAGAAATTGTTATGGCATGTGAAGTATCCATTGTCACAGACTAACTTTATCCCCTCCAGGAACAGTGCTTTATTTTTAATCGTCTTATGGGATTCGATTTCTTTCCAATATCTTGTATAGTTCTTTAAGGGGAATATTTGTAAATAGGGATTCCGCATCATACCTGATTAGGCATTCATTATCTTCAACTTTATTTAAGCTATTCATATTATCTTTGATTTGCATAGAATTCTTTACATCGTGTGTATTTTTATTATTAAGATTGTTTGGTGGTGGATTTAGAAATCTTGCTAGTTATTCAGTTATCCCATTGATATTATTGACTATTGGTGTGTTTTGTTTATGTGGTTTACTCAACTCTTATATTCTCAGAATGGTATTGTGTCTATTAATTAGGCTATCTTTATATTTTTCTTCTATGTATTCATTTTTAACTAGTTTGTTGACATAGTTTAATAATTTGTCTTTTATCTCACTTGAGGGGTCTTTTCTAAGGAGTCCATATATTTGCCGGTCATGAAGTAGTATATACATTTTATTATTATATTCTGATTTTTAAATGATAACTGTCTTTTTTGTTTTATCCGATTTGATAATAAGTAGTTCTGGGTTGTTCTTAAAAAACTGTTTCGTCTCTATTAATTTTAGCATGTAAGGGGTTAGTTATATTTTGTTTCGCCCAATTGTTGAGAAATTGGTATTATGGTTATTTACTCTATTTCGAACTATGCTCTTATGATTTTCGGAAGTATTAATAGATGTAATGATGTTTTCAATATCAGCTATAATATTCACTAATTCTATATTATATTTATCGGGTATTATATTGAATTTTTCTGCTAAGGATAATACATTTAGGATATTCACTGGAATATTTCCATCAGTAGCATTAACTGTCCAGCCCATAGTATACAATTCTTCGTAAGAATTTAAAAGCGTGTTATGGTTTGGAGCATAGGTATCCATTAGACTCTTATCCACGTTTTGTGATACAATGCTCAGAATATGATTATTATATACATCATTATATGATCTTTTAATCCGGATTATTTAAAAATATGATTATTATATACATCATTATATGATCTTTTAATAAGGATTATTTAAGGTCTTTTAATTGTGGGTTGATGGTTGACTGTAGAGAATAATAAAGAGAAGAATGGTTGGAGAGATCACTCAAAATAAAAATGGAAAAAATAAATAATGATATTTATTTTAACATTTTTATTTCAACTGATCACCCCAACCATCCTTCTCTTCATTAAGGTCTTATGACTTTTTTATAGTCTTTTTCTATGATATTCGTTAAAATACAATTTGAAATTCTCTATTAATTTATTCAAGTCATGTATTTGTGGATTTTTATTTTTTGATTTATTAAAATATTCATTATGAATTTTATTGTATGTACTGAGTGCCCAGTAACATTGTTTTATATCAAGTGTTCAGTAATCCATCGCTAATTTACTAAATAGATTTGTTGACTTATCTTTGTTATTAATCAGAAATTTAGTATTAAAGAGATTTTCAAGAGGAACAATTTTATTTAGCAAGTGATGGGAGATTGTATTGGACGTTTTACACTTTTTCAGATAAAAGATTTTCTCGTTAGTGCGTAAGATTATTAAAAAAAATATTATATGTGCATGCTAGGTTTACATTACCGTTGGTTGTGTTAAAAACAAGGTTAAATTTCTAACATTTTTCTGGATACATTTGATTACATCCTGGGTCATGTGCTGACCTCCCAATTACATTTAATTTTCTTCAAGTTTTTATTAAAAAAATTGGGAAAAAATCTAACCCCACATGACGATTTAAAAAAAAGCATTGTTCCTGGAGGGAATAAAGTTAGTCTGTGACAACGGATACTTTACATACAATATTTTTTTAAATTATTTCTTTCATTAATTTATTATCATTCTATACCCCGTTCTCTTCCTTCTCTCCCCTTATACATTTTTCCTAATCCTCATATTCTCTCCTCTGTCTTCCTAACCTAATTTATAAAATGCATAAAGTACAGTGGGCGTGTTCAATAAATAATATAAAAATGCTGTAACACACGCATGCCTCCCTGCTATGAACAAACTCTCTCCCTATCTGCTCCCATGCACATGGTAGTGGATGATTCCCAGGGAGTCAAGGATTATATTCTCTGCCAACTTTGCCACCTCCTTTATGTCGACAACAAGGCCCTCCATGAAGCTCCTCGTTGAGTTAGGTATAGTTTCACGAGCTCCGAACCAAAGGCCTCTCACGTGGAACTCTCTCGGAACTTTTCACTAAGGAAAGGGATGCATTTCTCATACGTCTGTTTTTTCTCCCTTTCCACTTTGCCTGCCTGATCGAGGTCATTGTTCTCATATCTCACGGTTGGATATATCTCACAAAATCATCGCTGACTTTCCCGTCTTAGGGAATGCTACAATGTTGGCATATCGGGTGGATCCATCCGTATCTATACAATATACTTCCTCGAAAACAGGTGTAATCTCTCTCTTTAAGGAGCCTCATCAGTTCATGTTTGACTCTGTGGTGACGGCGTGTTATAATGAGGGAGTTGTTGGGTTATTTTCCAAGCACATGTGCTGTTGTTTCTGGCACTCAGTTGCATTTGCGACAGAGGGATCCAACTTCTCTTACCTGTCCACTGACACCTGGGACTCCAGGCAGGGGTGCATAATTAATATTCAGTTTCAGGGCATTTGATCATTCAGACCTAGAAAGTACTTGCTTATCATACATGTATTTATTGGCTTTCGGGGTCTCTTTAGAATGGCGAACACCTATGCCCTGCACCTGCAATTGGTCCATACATCAACGAATTTTCTCGAAGCGACGTGGTCATTAAGTTTTAATTTCAGGTGTAATAATGTAATCATTGATTACTATTTTGCTTATCTCTGGTGAAAATAAATAAATTATATATATTTTCATTTTTGCCAAAGTTTCGGCCCAAGGTTCAGGCTTCATCAGAGCTAAGAAAAGAAAAGATAACAATACATTTGAGAAACTAGTAAATTGCAAAAAAATAATAATATGTAGAACCAAGTTAGGATATATACAGGATTTTCACTTTTGTTTACATGTTATTTATAATTTACTTTTGATCTCTATTTTTGAATAAAGTAAAGTAAAAGTTCAAAATTTATAATTCATAGTTCCACCAAGGCAAATATATTAACAGTAATTTTTTGTTCGTTTTTTTTTCCCTATTAAATAATCAATTGCCTCACAATACCATTTTGGCAACTATTATTTGAAACCAAAATATAATAACTTACTAGAATCATTACTGACCACATATGGTTTAATATACTTGGACTGGATATCGTATTATAAGCAAGAAAAGTACACTAGTACTAATTGTCATGTCGAAACTGGGATATTCTGTTATCATACATTGCTGCAATGTTTTGAACTAGGAGGTCATATTAGAACCCCTACAGAGGCTTGAGCTTCTGAAACATATATGGAACATAGCTCTACTAGAAATACTTTAGGGAACATGTAATATGGTTAAACAATTTCTAGTAATATTAAATAAACTAAACATGATTATTAACTTCTTGAGTCTAGATTGTTAAATATTTCCTAATTAGCTGGGATAGTACAAAATCCTAAAAATAATAATGTTATATAAAAACAAAATAAGTAAATAAAAATAATAACAGTGGAAAAGAAATAATAAGTATATATATATATATATATATATATATATATATATATATATCGCAACTTACTACTAATTGTTGCCGTAGGCTGAGGCTTCGATGGAAGCAATACAACCCGATTATTATTAGTATTAGATCCATTACTAGAGACATCGCCTGTCCCTCCCCAAAGAGTTGAATTATTAGACACCAACGTCATTGTTTTTTCACCCATCTGTACTCTTAAGTTTTTCAGCCCCTTTGAAAGAGAACAACAATTAGAAATACAATGTTATAGAAGAGGTAAAACAATTCATAATTACTACAGAATCTTGAGGATAGCATTACCCTGAAACTTTCATTAATCATTTGACATACTTAATTAAACAAAAAAAAAAGTAAAAGTGTACAAATGTGTAATGATAATAATACAAAATAAAATGAAAACTTATATACAAAAATAAAATTAATGATTGAAATTATTCACGATATTGATCCGTAATTTTTGTTTGAATTTTTACCTCCCAAATTAGCTTGAGAAGAGAAAATCAGTCCAACTCCTTTGGTGTCAAAATAAAAATTTTAAAAATCAATGGTGCCAACCTCTAACCATATTGGTATAAAATTAATATTGTGATATGTAATATAGTGATATAGGTAATTAATTTACCTAGCCATCTGGTTTAAATCATCTTTTATTTATTTAAATACGTAATCCACCAACAAGCACTGTCCCCAATGACAGGTGGTCATTATTTTTTGATTGTATATACAAGAACATAATGAATAATTATTAAATACAATACAAATAAAATAATACTGAACCATTGAAAAAATGAGAAGAATAACATAATACTAATAATAATAATAATAAAAATTAGTCAAAACTCAAGACTTATTTGATTAATTATGTATTAAATCATATTAGCGATTGTATTTCTTAATGTGCTTGGAGTATAAGAAAAATCCAATTGTATTTCAATATTAAGTAAATTCCAAATTTTTATTAACAAAAGAAATGGACATTTTGTTAACTGGCAAGCAACAGGCCATATTTGTTTTACATAATGATAAATAAAAATCATCTGTCACTCTGCTACCTTTCCTATTGAACCGAAAATTCAATTTATTCAATGTGGAGCTCTCATCAATAAATTTGTTTAGTTATTTAATTAAATGCATTACTGTGGCTATTGCAGAGTTGGATCATGGAATGCTTTATTATATCTAGATCACGTAGTGAGATTTAAGCTCAAGCAGAAAGGGACTCAAGGCCCTATTATCGCTCGGTTTGTGAGGCCAGAAGAACGAAGAGAGACTTCTCTACACGCCATCTAGGCTGGGAAGAAAACAATTCGCACCAGGTGTACGTAAGCGAAGCCATGACATATTTTCTCAGTTATGACCAATATCCTAAATTCCTGTCACGTCAATGCACAATCCCTTAATGCCCACTTTGATGAATTCCAAAAATATTCCCTCGATAATTTTTTTCACATAATAGCAGTATCTGAAACCTGGCTGAAACCTTTTATTCCTTCTTCCCAAATTTTTCTCCCCAATTACTCTTTCCTACGTCATGACAGATCTGATCGCACGGGAGGTGATGTCGGACTATAAGTAAATAATAGTCTCAAGACCAAAATCCTCTTACAGTCTCCTTTTCATGACCTCCCTCAGGTTGAATATTTATTTGTTGAAATTACCTTTATTTCCTCTCCTTTATTGTATGTTGTTGTCTACCGCCTTCCTCATGTTCTATTTGACCAACTCTTTGAATCCTCCCTTGTCAACCTGGTTTCCTCCTACTCCAATTTCATAATCTTCGGCGATTTTAATGTAAATATGCTCTCAGAATCTCCCGAAAAATACTACCTCAATGACCTAATATTTTCTCTCAATCTTTATCTTGTCCCTTATTCTTCCACTCATCATCACACTCAGTTCTCTGACACCTGGTTAGACCTCCACATCTCAGACTCACCGCTTAAAATCCTTTCCTCCTCTCAACACCCTGATCATCACACGACCTGATCCTAATATCGTACGACCTACCCTTGAAATCATTTACTACCAAAATAGTGTCGTATCGCAATTTAAACCTCCTTTCATATGAATCCCTTCAACCTGACCTTGATTCTGTCCAATGGGATACCATATTTTCCTATACCTCCATCGACCCTATGATATCCACCCTTACCTCAAACCTACAATCCTTATTAGACATCCATGTTCCTCTGAAAAACAGAATCTTACGTCGTCCCACTGCTCCTTCGCTGACCCCTGAAATAAAGGGAATGATAGAGAGAAGTAATGCAACAAGGCACAAATACCGTCAAACCCGCTTACCTGCTGATTATGCGTCTTTCAAACAACTTCCCAATGTAACCCAATCCACAATCCGACTTGCTAAATCCAACTACTTACATAATGCCCTTTCCAATGCTCCCCATTCCAAATCAAAATGGAAAATACTTTGTAATCTATCCCTACCAGATTCCAATAACCTCATTTCCCTCCCTGTGAATCCAGATGATCATAATGACCATTTCCCATCTTTTGCTTCTAATCCTTCTCCTACTCATGATATTGAACACCACAATTTCAATCCTGAAAACTTCTTTTTTTCCCATGTGTCCTACGACGAAATACTTTCCACTATCCTAAAATCCCACACCAATGATTATGGTCCTGACAATATTCCAGTAAAACTAATAAAATCCAGCTTTCTTACCCTTATTCCAGTACTTATCTACAAATTTTCAGTGCAAAATTCCATGTTTCTCTCTTCCTGGAAAACTGCACTAGTCCGACCTTTGAATAAAACATCTAATCCTTCCTCAGAGAACGACTTCCCTCCTATTTCTCTTCTTTCCAACCTCTCAAAACAACTGGAACGCCTTGTCCAAAATCAACTTTCCAGCTTCCTAGAAGAACATTCCCACATCAATCCATTCTAATCTGGCTTCCGACCTGGCTATTCAACGCAATCTGCCCTCCTTAAAATAACCCATGATCTCCAAAACTCCATTGAACACCAAAACCTTACTATCCTCATCCTTCTAGATTTTTCCAAAGCGTTTGATACAGTTGACCTTAACATCCTTCTTACCAAATTGCAAAATTTTCCTCTATCCAACAGTGTCCTACGTTGGTTCAAATCCTTCCTTTCCGATCGATCCCAGTATGTGGTCGTCCCTGATCAACCTCCTTCAAAGACACTTCTCCTCTCCTGTGGTGTCCCTCCTTGTCTCCTACTCTGCTTGCTATTAACATTAATGACCTTCCCCTCCTGATCCATCACTCCCAATACCACATCTATGCTGACAATATCCAAATATACCTGTCCTTCCCCCCTTCTGACTGTGAAAAGTTGAATGTGGAAAGTATCAAGGCAATCCTAATAGGCTCCAATCACCTCTTCAAAACTGTTCCTAACATTCCAACCTTGTTCCTACATGATAATCCTATCAAATTTTATCCCACCATCAAAAACCTTGGTATAATCTTCGATCAAATCCTTTCCTGGAAAAACCATGTATCCAATACCTCCCAACGTACCTTTTCCACACTAAAACACTTAAATAGCCTCTGACACCTTTTTCCTTTTGAAATCCATAGACTCCTGGTTACCTCCTTAATATTTCCCCACTTCGACTATTGCTGCACGATATATGGAGGCGTCTCAGGGGATCTCGAGGCGAAACTAAAACGTTTGATAAATTGCTTTGTACGATTCATCTTCGGGATCCCAAGGGACGCCCCTGTTTCCTGTTTCTATGAAGAGTTGAAGTGGCTTTATCCTTCCTACCGCCGTATTTTCTGGCATCCTTCCTCTTTCAAGTCATTCATTCCCACCATCCTTCATACATCTCCGAGCTCCTTCAATTTAAATCCTCTGTCCACTCCCGCAATACCCGTTCCCGGTCTTCAGATTTATATATAATGGCCCACTGAACCGCTGCTTTTGGTAAATCTTTTATTATTTGATCCTCATCCCTATGGAACTCCATCCTCCCCGACATCCATCACTCAAATACTCTCCCTACTTTTAAATCCCGCCTATTCAATCACTTTCTTTCCATCCAGTCCCTCTAAAATTGTAAATAGAAACTTCTGTAAATATGTAAATATATTATTAGTTTATTTTCATCTCATTGTTCTTTCATTTATTTATTGTTTTCTGATATAATCTGGAAGATAACTTTTTTTTTCATTATTCTCTATTATATCTGTTAGTTAACTTTCTTAATACATCTATATATATCTGAGGCTCAAAAGCCCACATTTCTGTCCTTGTTAATTATTCTAAAGGGATTCATCCCAGAATAAATAAAAGATTATTATTATTGAAAAATATTTTAAAAAATGAGGTAGGCTACTTTCTGGATATATTCCATAAGACTTAAATAAAACAAATTTCAAAAATAAGTTTTACAGCTTTTAAAAAGTTCCTGTCCCTTTTATTGAATTTGTATACTGTTAATGACCAAATCAACGCATTTTATTTTTTCTCACCAACTCACTCTTTTGAATGTCAATTTATAACTGTTTATTATTTTTTTCTTTGTAAAAAACTGATATATAATTGTCTCATAAATGTATTTAATAGTATATTGTTTATATGTTCAGCTTTATTCAAGATGTAGTATCGTGTTTGTGTATACACACCAGCCTGGCAGTAATACTGAGTCTTAGGTATTAAGACAACCAAAATACTGTCAGGATGCAGTCTAATGTCAGTCTGGAGTGAACATTGATAGATGCAGGATCTGGATGTTTGGACATCAGATCCCCCCACCCCACCAGTTGCTTCAGCTGAACAACCCCACCGGCCGAGTATAGCGCCATTTTGAAAGCTACAGCTGTTGATCATATCAAGATCAATACCCCCACCATCGATGGCTGAACACCAGATGAGATAACCTCATAAGAAGTAAGACTGTTTATCTACTTCCCTCTGGTATTGTTTTCCTTTATATTCTCCACTGTCTCCAAAATACATTTGAGAATTAATTTAATTTTTTTCTTCTCTAAATTGATTTTTTTTTTCTTATTATTGATTTTAATTTAAGAAGTTTTACTATTATTTATGTTATTCTTAGTGGACAAATTTTATTTTTTCATTGAATACAATGTTTATGTTTGGTTTTATTTCAATGAATTTTTATATCATGGTTTATTTTGTTGTTTTTAACTTTTGTATATATATCTTTCTTAATTTCAATATAATAAATATTGTAAACATTTAGAAAGGGGTTGTTTATTTCATTTTCCATCTTGATTAATTGAATATTTTAATATAATATTATTTTGATGTGCATGCGTTTTAACCTTATTTTACAGATCTCATTTTTTACTTCATTCCCTTTGTTAATTATAATATTATTTTTCTCACCTTTAGGGAAACTCACCGGGGAAAGATTTTATTTTCATTTTGAAATACTCCTGGCCCCAACAGATACCAAATAATTGAACAATGCTCAATTGGCAGCCTTATGATGGAATATTAATATTATTTTTTTGAAAATCTTTAAAATTAATAAAGTATTTACAATAATAGGGCAAGAAACTCCACTATAAGGGAGAAATTGGAAATAAAGCAAAATATCCTAGAGGTAATGGAAGAAAGGAGACTCAGGTCATGTAGCCATGTGAGATGAGTGAACGACAATAGGATACCGAAGATAATCATGGATTGGGAGGCAGAAGGTAGGGAGAGACTTGCTAAAGGAGTTTGGTTAAGGAAAACTTTATCTTGAAGAAACTCCTAAATAAAAAAATTATAATAATTAATATAATCACATTAATAAACAAAGGCTTTGTAGCATTCTAATTTCATCTAAAAAGAGAGCTGCAATAAAACAAAATTAATTTATTACCAAGCATCAATTATTACTTGAAATAATTATAAGAATATGGAGGGCTCGCTGGTACGGAGTATCTGCAGAGACACAATATTGTGGCAAAAATATTCCACCAGGCTCTGGCGATGAAACTTAAAATGTTGGATAGAAAGGTGGCATATTATAAATGTAATCCCAATTCAAAAAGGTTCCATCAAGATTTATTGGAACGAATCTATTATCATGGAGCACACAGTGCGTCACAATTGACCTGATATCTTCATAATTGATTTTGGAACTAAGAAAGCCAAGCTAATTGATGTTGCGATTCCAAATGCCAACATGGATATAAATACAATTGTGGATGAAAACTCAGAACTCAGAAACTTGAAATAAAAGAAATGTACCATTTGGAGAGCACAATGGTAACGCCAATTGTAATATAAACAAACGTTCTGATTCCAAAGACGACGTTGGCAGGTACCAATGGCTTGGAGTTGCCTCTTGGTGTGATTAGAGAAGCTCAGTGAGCAGTTCTTCTGGATATAGTCAGAAGTTTTTTAAATAATTGAAAACAAAAAAATGTATATCTGTTGGTGGTTGGACTTGTTCCCCACCTTCAGCTTCAAATCTGCAAATGCGAGAAAAATAAAGATAATAATAATAATGGAGTGTAACTCATATATGTAATCATACTTGAGCATTAGCCTGCTGTAGAATATGTGATGCTGAGCCTAGAGATGTTTTGCCAGTTATTGTAAGAGTTTTAGAACCTCCAGAACCAGGTACTGTAATTGTAATTGGCTTAGCAATGGTGGAATTTGTGGAATTAGGATTCATCATAAGCATTCTAACAGAAGCACTCCCTGAAAAATCAATGGTAAAATTTCGAATATAAAAAGAAAGTACAATATGGGCTAATAAAAGCAATTCAGGTACTAATAGTAATTGACACAAAATTAGGCAGGTAGGCATTTTTGTTATTTATGCATTTAGTTTTAACTAGGGATCCATCAATATTGAAATTTTGACGATTTCGATATTTCGAAGGCCAATATTTATATATTTGGCCAAAATAAGAGCAAAAAACCTAAATATCAGCCTTTCGTTCCTATTTGTCAAGTTCCATATGGTGTAGCTTGGAAAAATCTCTTTATTGCTGAACGCAAATGTTAATAAATCATCTAGGGTTATATATATATATATATATATATATATATATATATATATATATATATATATAAAATATCGGCCCTTTGGATATATTTTATATCTAGGTTATTGAAGTTTCACTTGGAAAATTTTCCTAATTGATAATTTATGTCGATAATCAATCAAGTATGGATCGTACTGTTGGAAACTTGAGCTGATACAGATATGCATAAGGCCAATATATCAGCCTGTCAGCCTTATTTTATCTGGATAAGTAAAGTTTCATTTGGAAAATTCTGCATGTAATTTATAAATGTACTAATCAATCATCTACGGATAAACCAATATAGAAACTTGAGTTGATACCGATATTCCTAAGACCGATATATCAGCCATTATATTGGTTCTGTCAAGGTTCTTGCAGTTTCACTTTGGAATAGTCTCATGATTATTAAATGAACGAGTCAATGAATCTTCTAGAGATAGACAATATATAGGAATTGTAGCTGAGTCAATGAATCTTCTAGAGATAGACAATATATAGGAATTGTAGCTGACACAAATATACAAAAACAAATATATCGGTCATTACATCTTTTCTGTCAAGGTGATTATAGTTTCATTTGGAATATTCTCTCCTTATTGATAAATGAAAATGTCAATGAATCTTCTAGGGATCTAGTATAAAGATTCTAGTATAAAGGAATTTTAGCTGATACAAATATACCCGAAATCGATATATCAGCCATTATATTCATTTCGTTTAGGTATCAACAGTTTCACTTGTAAAATTCTCCTTATTACTGAATGAATATATCAAACAATTTTCTAGGAATCAACGTATATAGGAATTGTAGCTGATACAAATATACCCAAGACAAATATTTTGGCCTTATGACCTTGTTTATTGAGATTGATAGTTTCCTTAAAATATTATTCTTATAGCTACTAAATGAGACTATCAATCATTAAAGGATCTATACATACATAAATTTGAGCAGATAACGATATTCCAAAGATCGATACATGTAGGAATAATATTCTAAGCAAAACTCTATCAAATAAAGTCGTAAGGCCGATATATCGATTTATATATTAGCCTTTAGAATATTGGTATCTGTTGAAATTAATGTTTATGTCGATCCTTTGACGATTGATTGACATACTTATTAGAAATAAAAATAATATTCCAAGTGAATACTCAATCAATCTCGCTAAAATAAGGTCATGAGACCAATATATCGGTATCTGTACAAATTGGGGGGAGGGGAGAACCAAAACAAAAAAAAACTATCTATCTCGATAAAATAGTTAGTAAGACTGATATATTGGTCTTTGGAATATCCGTATCTGCTCAAATTTATGTTTATGTTGATCCCTTTCGTAATAGACACATTTATTAGCAATAAAATAATATTCCAAGTGAAACTTTATCAATTTTTATAAAATAAGGTCGTAAGGACGATATGTTGATCCAAGGGGAGGACAACAAAATTCGAAGATTAATCTGTCTAATGAATACGAGAGCTCCACCCCATGTGCTATGGAGATAATATTAAACATGCCACCACTGCACTTGGAAGTTGAGGCTCAGGCAACAAATACATTATAAAGGCTGAGTAAGCTAAAAAGTTGCTCCTATATCCCTTGTCAGGGACATACCAAACTGCTGAATAGGATTGAGTGTGACGAAGTGTTAGCCAGGTGTACAATAGGCCGTCATTTATGCATTTATGCCACTCGAAAAAATTGCTAGCCATGTACTCAGACATACAAATCCGTGAGTATCTGGACAGCAAATATGATAACAGCAGACAACACAAACCAAAAAATGGTATGAATTGTTATATAGTTAGCTCTCTAAGAGCTTATGCTTCAGGAGCAAGCATCTATCGAAAAAGCAAAAAGAAAAAGTTTCAATTCCTCGTGGCAAATATGCTTCAGTATTTTAATCTGAGATACTAGCAATTTGCCATTGCAACCTACTGCAAGGCAAAGTGACTGGAAAAAAGATAATAATCTACACTGACAATCAAGCAGCTATAGGTGCCCTAAGTAATCACTAAACATACTCAAAGGTTGTTAAAAAGTACAGTATAGCGTTTAACAATCTGTCTGTGCTTAATAGAGTTGCAATTGAGTGGGTGCCTGGACATTCGGCCATTCTTTGCAAACAAAGAGGTAGACAATCTAGGTTGAGCTCAGATACTATTCCCATAACTCCTGAACCTGTTTGTGGAATACGTCTTAGTACTGCCAAAAGAAGGATTAGGGAGTTATTAGTTATAGTTAGCACTCAAAAAACTTACAGCGATCTATAATGGTCGTAAGTTAAATTATCACACATTCAATCTCTGAGTGACCTTGAACCAACTTTGCAGATTCTGTTAGAAGGAGAATGAAGCAGCCTTTCACATAGTTTGTTGATGTGATAGATTTGTAAGGCTAAGACTAGAGCTATTTGGGGAGGATCGAGTGGATTACCCCGAGTGATGAGCAGCTATAAGTCTATCAATCCGATAAGCCTATTAAGATACACAGAAGCAAACTAACTAACGTTTTAGGAATAAAAAGGACGTTATACATGGCGCACAATAGATCCTCAAGGGTCCCAGTACTTTATGCCAAAAGTTAAACAATGACTACTAATAAGGGGAGGAAAAAAAAAATTTGGAAGAGAAAAAAAATGGTCAAACTTAACCATATCGGCATCCACTCAAATTTATGTTTATATTGATCCTTTGACGATTTTATTATTAGCAATAAAAATAATATTCTAATAGAAACTCTAGCAATCTCGATAAAATAAGGTCGTAAGGCTGATATATCGGTCCATAGGAGGGCAAACAAACTTCGGAAGAAGGGGAGAACAAAAAAAATGCTCAAACTCTACCAATCTAGATAATATGAAGGCCATAAAGGATGATATATCAGTCTCAGGAATATCAGTATCAGCTCTAACTGCAGAAAGAGGAGCAAAAGAAAAAACTCTACTCACTTCGATAAAATAAGTTCATAAGGCCAATATTATTAGTGGTATCGGTCAATCTCTGGTTTTTACACACTGATGGGCAAATCAGATCAAATTTCAAACCGCCAGTATGTCAACTGTCCATTGTTGCCTAGCATCCAGCTTAGCAACAGAGAGTATGATCGAGGACAGACCTGTCACCAAGCACTGATGATCTTCAAATTGGGTCAAAACATTAATTTCAATAAATTGTTTTTACTATTTGAAGTTCCTTTTTGATCATTAACCCAGGGATTCTCTTCCCTCATTATATAGAAGGTCAACTAATAAATATTTAAGAATTGTATTTCAAGTAAAATTATAACTTTTGAAAAGTTTAATTTTTTTTTTTCTGTTGGCATTATAGACTTAGTAGATCATTTACTACCTTGAAAAGCCTACTCCATCTCTACCTTCCTTGGGCTATTTCTTTCCAGTTATCTGCATATAGCTCTATTCCATTTTTGTTGATTCGATCTATCCATCTGCTTTTTGGCCTTTCACGTGATCTCTGCCTTCTATTGAGGCATTCATTGTTATGTATAGACTTGTAGATGGATTGCTGTGAGCTACATGCCCTGCCCAACTTAAACTCCATGCCTTCATATCATGAGATATTCATTGGCAAGTTTCTGTCTTTCTTCTCTATATCTTAGTACTCTGATCCCAGATCACTCCCATTATCGTGCAGAGGACTTTCTCTCGAATCATTCAATACTTTTTTCTAGGGCGCTGGTTAGTGTCCAGGTTTCACAGCCATAGTTAGAACTGGCTTTATCATACGCATTGTATGCTCTTAATTTGAGATTTTTTGGAATTTCAATACCTTTGAAAGGGAGAAGAAAGCTATTTATGAGCTTGTAGTACACTGGTCTATTTCTGACTGATATGAATATCATTGAGGTAATTGTGGACCGAGATATTTGAATTTCTCTACTCTTGGGAACAGTTTTCCCTTCTATGCAGATCCTGTTATTGGTGTGAAATTTTCAGCTTATCATATATTTTGTTTTGTCTTTATTTACTTGTAGGACGAATTGCTCGTTAAGTTTTATTAATATAGTTTAAAAAGTTTAAGAGAGAGAATCACTTAATTTTCATAAAAGGCTGCTGCCCAATTATATTGGGTTGCTACAAACAGCATAGTTATTAATTTTAATAGAAAATTTTTAAGACTGATATAAAAATATACAGTATTAACAATATATATGAGCATAGTATACAATTTTTTTTTTATACATATATGTATGATTTTTATATTATTTTATTTTTTGTTCTTTTTTTCATGCACATGGTGGTGGATGATTCCCAGGGAGTCGAGGATTATACTCTCTGCCAACCTTGCCACGTCCTTTATGTCGACACCAAGGCCCTCCATGAAGCTCCTTGTTGAGTTTGGTATCGTTCCACGAGCTCCGAACCAAAGGCCTCTCATGTGGAACTATCTCAGCCCGAAACTCTCGCAGAAATTTTCATTAAGGGAAGAGATGCATTTCTCATATCTTTGTTTTTTTTTCCCTTTCCACTTTGCCTTCCTGATCGAGGTCATTGGTCTCATATCTCACAGTAACATCCAAAATAATAGCCAACTATCCCGTCTTAGGGAATGCTACAATATCGGGTGGATCCATCCGTATCTATACAATATACTTCCTTGAAACAGGCGTAATCTCTCTCTTTAAGGATCCTTATCAGTTCATATTTTACTCTATGGTGTCGGCGTGTTATATGGAGGGAATTGTTGAGGCATTTTCCAAGCACATGTGCTGGTGTTTCTGGCTCTCTGTTGCATTTGCAACAGAGACCCAACTTCTCTTACCTGTCCGCTGACACCTAGGACTCCACACAGGGGTGCATAGTTAATATTAAGTTTAATGGCATTTGACCATTCAGACCCAGAAAGCACTTGCTTTTCGTACGTGTATATATTCGCTTTCGGGGTATCTTTAAAATGGCGAACTCTAATGTCCTGCCACCTGCGAGTGGCCCATTCCTTAAATGAATTTTTTTGTAGTGACTGCTGTAGAGCTCTCATATTTGGAAGACCCTGATCAACCCAAAATCTCTCGGCATATTCAGTAACCTCAGCCGAATAATCAAAAATTGATTGGAAAAGGGCATCAGGCCATTGGACAGTCGCTGAGCAATGGACAAATGTTACAGAGGGGCCTCCCATTGGCAGCGGATTAATCCTAATTAGTCACACTCGCCGTGGAGGTGTTCGCAGGGAGTCCAATAATGGCCTCTTTTATTTACACTCCTACGAATCATGGTGTCAATGCCTTTAAGTATGGTAGGACACAGCTTTGTAAGGGACGCAGTTTGAAGAGGGCAAGTATAAAAACTTTTCATTATTAATCTTTTTATTAGTATCTTCTTATCAAATGCATTTCAAATATTTTTTATTTTATTTATAAGGAATGTTAATTTCCAACTTGTAATACATTTGTTTTAGTACGGCTGTTCTTGGAAGAACATTAATTAATAATCAGTTTTATTGAATAATATTGTAAGCATAAATAAAATGGTTTGAGCAATGTTTATGTTATATCTAGATGTTAAGGATTTTAATCCTTCATCAGTAAATTGTGAGTTAGAGATAGATAGATGGCAACACTCAAAATCTCTTTGACCCTCTAATTTTGTGTCAGTTACTATAGTTATGTAGAGATCAATTGAATATACAAATTACCTTTATCAGTAGAACTTTGTGCAGTAGTTAATGTAGAAACCGGCTTAATTGTAGATCCAGTTGTCATGACAATAAACTGCTGCCCTGAAGGCATTCTTATACCTGGTTTATTGATAATTATAGTTTGCTGCTTAGAACCAGTAGTCGAACCTTTATTAACAGTAACCATATTAGAGGGAACTGTCTTCATGGTTGTTAAAACTTTTGTAGTATTTCCAACTAGAACATTATTAAAAAAAAATTAGTTACACCATTTAGAATTGTCTGAGATATGTACAAAGGTATAAACAGATTCCATAAATGTTTAGGGCCCATCACGTCTGGAATTAGGGATGAAAATAACAATATTCTGACTGATTCAGTAGACAAATTAAATAAGTTTAAGAACCACTTTGACAATATTTTGAATACGAAAAATTATTATATGTATACTCCTTCTGAGTACCACAGTGCTGAACCATTAATAGAAGAACCAAGTAAAGAGAAAGTTGAAGTAGCTATTGGAAAATTAAAATCTTATAAAGCAGCGGGAACTGATAATATTTCAAGTGAACTAATTAAGGCATATGGGGAAGCCGGAGTTTCTACAATACATGAGTTGGTTAAAAAGATCTGGGCGAATGAGATATTACCTGAAGAATGGAAAGAATCTATTCTTATTCCAATTCACAAAAAGGGTCCGAGGACAGATAGTATTAACTATCGAGGAATTTCACTCCTTACGGTATGTTATAAAATATTCACTTTAATCTTAACTAGTTGAATCACGGAATATGCCAAAGAAATTATCGGTGACTATCAATGCTGATTTAGACGGAACTGTTCGACTATTGATCAAATATTTTCTTTGCGGCAAATATTGAAGAAAAAAATTTGAGTACAACAGTGTTGTTCACCAGCTGTATATTGATTTCAAAAAGGTTTACGATTCTAGAGACCACCAGAAACTGCATAACATTCTAATCGAGCAGGGGATCCCAAAAAAATTAGTAAATCTAGTCAGGATGTGCTTGATGGAAACAATCAATAAAGTTAGAATCAGTAATAACATATCCGAAAAGAGGTTCATTAAGGTTTAAAACAAGGTGATTTACTTTCGCCGGTCCTGTTCAATTTGGCATTAGAACATGCCATTAGGGAGGTAATGAGCACTATAAAAGGGTTGGATCTGGATGGGACAACACTTGTGCTTGGCTATGCGGATCTGGTCCTGTTAAGCAGACACGGAAACTACCAAACTAAATACGACGTTAATGAAAGGCAGTAAAGAACCAGGGCTCAAAATAAATAAAGATTAAGGTTAAGCTGAAGGTGGGAAATGCTTGTTATTTTTCTGTGACAAAACTACTTATCTCGCTCCTCCTGTTGCGGAACTTAAAAATTTGAATCAATAAAACCATTGGTTCTTTATGGATGCTAATGTGGCCACTTACACTATAACAACGTCTTAAGGTTTTTGAAAATAAAGTATTGCATAGAATATTTGTTTATAAAGGAGTCAAGCACACCAACATATTGGAATATGTCCAGGCCCAGTACTTCATTTATGCAGACGACATTGTGGTGATAGCAGACAATGTGGATTCTCTGCAAATTGCAGTGGAGGAGTGGTCCGAGCAGCTTAAGAGAAGAGGAGTCGCCATCAACTCTTGTAAGAGCAAGATTATGCAGATAGGACGGGAGGAGGTGGAGCTTAGGATTGTGTGTGAAGGACACCAACTGGAGCAAGTTGATATTTATGAATATCTGGGAACTGTCTTCAGACGGGATGGGAAGATGGACTAAGAAGATATGCATCGAATGCTTAAAGCTAACCAAGTCTTCTTCCAAATTACCAGAACACTCGTGGGCAAGCAAGAGGTGAGCAAAGCTTCACATTTTTAAATCTGTCTTCCTCCCGATCTTGTTATATGGACGACCGAGAATCACATATAATGGTTATATGGATAGACTCGGATGACAGCTGGAGTCGATCCTGGGGAAGATAAAGAGAAAGGCCTAGGATAGGGACACATACCGAAGGCCGAGACTATTCCACGCTTAACAGCACAAAAGAGGTAGAGAAAGAAGAAGAAGAAGAAGTAGAATATTTGGACCGAAGATGGACGAGTTAACCGGAGAGTTCAAACAGTTACACAACGCCAAATTGCGTGAACTGTATCCGGTTAAAAGGTGATATAATTGAGGTGATTATATCGCTGCAAATGGGCTTGTAAAATTGTTGGGCTTAGTAACGAAAGAAATCCTAAAAGGTTAATATTTGCTGTACCGAATGGTAAACGTCCAAGGGGTAGACTGAAGCGAAGGTGCGAAGATTGTGTTAAAGCTAATCTGAAGGGACTGGGTTTGGATGATGACCGGTGAAGGGGGAGTGTAATAAGCAATTGGTGGTGTCAGCATAAAACCTTCAGATTCGCTAAGCCTTTTATTATTATTATTCAGAATTGTCAATTTTTTTTTAGTTTTAAGTGAACTCATTCATTGTTTTTCATTATAATTGATGTATAATTTTTGATAAATGGTCATATGACTGTTAATTATAGAATATAATTCAGTAATACAACACACTAAATTCTTTAGTTATAGGTAAACAACAGCAAAAATAAGTTTAAGATTAATGTTATGCAACAAAAATTGTTTCTTATTTTTTTGAAAAATTGAAGTTTGTTAAGATTGTATGCATCAGGTAGTTTTAAATAACAAAAGGCTGTTTAATATTTCTGAAGTTTATTGTTTTTATTTATTTTATTATTATTAATTCTTTTCATTGTATGCATTTTAGAGCAACTCTAAGAAGGCGGCTCTATACCATTGCCAATAAAAAAAAAATATAAAATAAAAAAAAGGAATATTTAAAATTTACATGAAATAAAGCTTTCTTTCTATCTATCTATAATAGAATAGAAAAATAAACTTTATTCTGGAACTAGGTCCCTCAAGAATAACAATCTTGCACATACAAATTAAAATTAAAAACCTATTACAATAATAAGTGATAAATACAAGTATATACATAGTTATCAAAGATAAAGTAAAGAAAGGATTTATATCTGTCACTGAAAAGGTTTAAATAAATACTCATAATTGTGTAGTAAAAAATTACTAATCTTGAACACATTGACCACTAAGAATATACACACAGTAATTGTGGGTAAATGGTTGACTGTCGTGAATAATGAAGAGAAGAATAGTTGGGGTGATCAGTCAAATAAGAAGGCAAAAATAAATGATAATATTTATTTTGACATTTGCCGACGTTTCAAGCTCAGGCCTTCATCAGGGCTAAGAAAAGAACCAGATAACAAGATATGAGAAACATAAGTAGTGTAGGTAAAAAAAAATTAAAGTAAAAAACAGTTGTTAGAATAATGACAATAGAAAGAACTAAGAGATAAATAATAATAACCCTTACAAAGTGTGGAATGATTAAGCAATCATAATCAAAAAAGGTGACATAAGTATTAAAATGGGTATCTTAGAATAAAATGTAAAACAGAAAAAAGAAATATGAAGTTACATAAGAAATTAAAATAAACAGTAAAATTAAGATATTGTGAATAGAATAGTTAGATAGAAAATTGAGATATTGCAAAGTCTATCAAGATGTACAGACAACGTATAATGTAATAAAGAGCTAAAACAGAGAAAAGGAATGAAAGGAAGGAGGAAAGAAACTGAGAAGGCTGAAATAAGAAAGAGAAAAAAGAAAACAAACCTGTCTCCAAAAAGTGATAGCGGAGAAATGAGCATGGTAGCCAGGGAGGGGGGTGAGAAGAGATGTATAGTGCTGTCATCCTTAACGGTTATTTGACGAAGTTTGAACTAAAGTAGCGGAAGCGTAAATGAGGACGAGAGATATATTACTCATAAATGTTATGGATAATTAAACGAAAGTTTAATAGAAAGAGGATGGAAAATTCTGGAGAGGCAATAAAACAAAGATAATAACTGTTGAGTAATAATGGAGAATAATTTAAATTAATATATATCATATACATATATATATATATATATATATACATACACACACACATATACATACACATATATATACACACAAACACATACATACATACATACATATATATATATATATATATATATATATATATATATATATATATATATACATATTCTTAATATAGATATATATATAAATAAGGAAGTTATCAGCGAAAAGGAAAGGAATATAACTATGGATGTTTTAATAAATTCAGAATTTGGGAGTAAGCTAAGGATAAGTTCTGTTTGTCTGTTTTTAGATTCACTGTCTTTGGTGTGGAGGGTTTCAGAAATGAGTCGTTTATCATGGTTGAGAACTGTGGCAAGGATGGATGTTTTGTCGAAATCAAATGTATGATTGAGGGAGAGAGAATGTTCAGATAATTTGGAGATTTTTGGTTTCACCAATATAGGATGAAAAATAATTGGGGGTAGAACACGGAATATGGTAAACGATACGAGAGCGGTGTGAGAGAGGAACAGGATCTTTTAAGGATGTGTATAATTTAGAGATTGTGTTGTGAGATTTGAATACAAGTCGAAAGCTAGGGTTGGTAGATCGTAAAGCTTTGTTTATGTTGTCCGAAAGATTAGGAATATAAGGTAGAGATCTGTATATAGAGGGCGAAATGGGTTGTGGAGAATTAGTGGAAGTCGAGATTAAGGAAGAGCGATTATTGTGATCTGTTGTAAGTTTGTTAATGACATGGAGAGAAGAATTATTGTTTGATAGGATTTGATTTATGCGTTTGATATTGGTAACATGAAATTGGGGATCAGAGAGGGAGAGACTTCTATATACACAGTAGTGTGAAAAAGTCTTTGATATTTATTAATTAATTAAAATGATATGTTGTAATTTAGAAGTGTTTTATTTTCTTAATTCTAAATTGGTTTAATCTTGTAGATGTAATATATATGAAAATTAGCATTATTTTCAATTAACAAGCCGAGGAACCAATCAATTGTGTTGACGTTATTATCATGGGCTGAATATTGCTATTTCATTGTTTAAATTTCACTACTTTGTAATCCACCTCAGTCTTTATTCTTTATTGTTAACATCAAGAGCCTTTGTATAAACTCTAGGAAGCTGAAAGTATCTTTAGAAATTGTTTAAAAATAAGAATAATAAATTTCCCTTTTTTCAGAAATTTAATTTAACATTGCATATTTCATAATTTATTTTTATTTTCTAATTAATATTTCTTTTATTT